AATTTTTTCAAGATTGTCTACCACAGAGCTGTTGTACCTGTTCCTTCTCCTTGCCTCACCACTCTGCTCACCTTCTTCTAGGAAAGAAGTCATCTCCACTCACTTTCCTGTTTAGCCCCTTCCTCACAGCTACTCTGGAGTGTCTAATGGGGATAATTTTGTTGGAAGCCACCTGCATGCCAAGACCCTGCCATCCTTGGCAAGAGAATTTTTTGTTCAGCTACCCAGGAAGCACAGCCTGCCTTTGGAGAACTCTGCAGCAGTGCTGGGGACTTAGAGATGCACATATTCATCCTTAGCAGCCTGTCTCAATTCGGTCTACTTTTCATTGTTTCCCATGATCTCTCTGTGTATGTTTTAATGCCGAGCTGTAGGTGGTGTTTGATTTCATAATGAAGGATGTTTTCTTTTCTCATTGTGTTTCATGGTGTCACTGACTTCCAGACAGTGGTCCAGCACCAAGATGCCCTTTCTGTACTCCCTTTGGGGATCCCTCACCAGCACCAAGATGCCCTTTCTGTACTCCCTTTGGGGATCCCTCACCAGCACCAAGATGCCCTTTCTGTACTCCCTTTGGGGATCCCTCACCAGCACCAAGATGTCCTTTGTGTTCCCCCTTTGGGGTCCCCTCACCAGCACCAAGATGCCCTTTCTGTACCCCCTTTGGGGGTCCCTTACAGGGTGTTTGAACTTAACATGGAACACAAGCCATGAGAACGTGAATGCTTACAGAGCAGAAGACTTGGAGGATCCCACCAGGTAGACTGATCAAAAAAAACCAGAGAAATGAGAGGAAGACGTGTAGCCTGGGGCTCCCAGGAGGAGTGGGAGTCGATGCCGCCGACTGTGGGGTGGCTAAGATGGGGACAGGACTGTTACTCTGACGTCATCTTGTGGGGGTTTTTTTTCTCCTGTTGTATCTCATTAATTCAAAACTTCTTAGAACTTCTTTGTTTCACTGAAAATTCAATGAAAGTATCTAGCCCTTTCAATAAATGTTTGTAAGCTTCTTAAAGAAATTAGATTTTTAAAAAATCAATTGCTATTAGGCAACTAATGTTGGAAGTTCTAAAGGGAGGAAAAAAAAACGAGCAAAACAAACTCTGGTACTGGTGCAGCGATGGGATGTCAGGGAAGGCTTCATAGGGCATGTAGCTGCCAGGTGCTTGGGCATCTGCCAAGCTTAGAGGACAAGAGGAGGCCAGGAAAGGGTTATGCTAGGCAGGATAAACCCAAGGGATGCACCCTTAAAAGTGCCATGCCCTTGGAAACTGCAGAAAACTCAGGAGTGACAGAGAGCTGGCGGCCGGGAGCCAGGTGCTAACCTGAACAGCTCTTTATTTAAGTTCTTCATTGAGGAGTTTGCTGTGGTGACCTTTGCATGTACGGCCAGGCTTTTATTCTCTTACCTGAGAAACAATATTGTAATTATTTATTTATATTTCACTTCCCTGTTCTTTAATAAATTTTTAAGAGAACATTCATTTGGGCCCAGGGTCTGGCTCAAAGTAGAAGTAAATAAGTATGTGAAGAATACATTATACAAGTTTGTCTTGAAGGATATGCACACAAAGGTTGTGGATGTGCCTTCTGTAATTGCTCTAAATTTTTTTTCAAAGGTTCATTTATTTTTATTGGAAAGGCAGATTTACAGAGAGGAGGAGAGACAGAGAGAAAAGTCTTCCATCTACTGGCTCATCCCCTTAGTGGCCACAACAGCCGGAGCTGAGCCAATCTGAAGCCAGGAGCCAGGAACTTCTTCTAGGTCTCCCACACGGGTGCAGGGTCCCAAGGCTTTGGGCCGTCTTCGACTGCTTTCCCAGGCAACAAGCAGGGAGCTGGATGGGAAGTGGAGCAGCAGGGATATGAACCGGCTCCCATTACTTGCAAGGCAAGGATTTAGCCACTAAGCCCTCGCACCAGACTCTCCCACCCCTTTTCTTCAGACTGATTTAAAAATTTTTTTAATTTGCTACTATAAAGAGAACAGATTTCATGTATTTCATAAATACAAATTAAAATAACCTTACCTCCTAGTCTCCATCTTTTCTCCTTTATTTTGTATTTCCTTAATTTTTGCAAAAACGTACTTTCACTCTATAATCACAGGCTTTTTGGACTCCTAACCATGAGGTTCAACAGGTACGCAGCAGAGACCACTGTTCCAAAGGAGTTTTCTATATTAACTACTGTGTATCAGAGAAAACGCAGTGTCTGTCTGCGAGTAAGAGATGGTGTCAGCCCCGTTGTCCTTTGTGACAGTAGCTGCAGCGCCTCCTGGAGGCAAACGGTGCAGGTGGCAGACTGTCCACCAATTGCTGTTAAAGCATACATTGGCACCATCTAGTGGTGATTTTTAAGACATAACCAAATGGAAAGTTTCAAAATACTAGAGTCAGATGAATTTCAACATTTTGTGAGTTGCTGAAGGATTGTATTTAGCTTAGCAATATTCTGCTGAGCTTATGACAGTATCTCCTTGTTAATAGTTACACCTGCAGCAATTCTATATGTGTATCTTAATTGTATTTTAAAAGCATGCCTAGAGGTTTTCATAAAATGTTTTATTAGAAATAAACAATTTCAGAATTTCCATTATGAAATAAATTACATTATTGGACAAGCTTGCGATCTTACAACAGTATTCTAACTCGTGTGTTACTTGCCATGTCTCTTGGTCACAGAGTTTCAAACTTATGAAGTCATTTTCCCCTAACATTCTTTGGCTCCTTTCCCTTTTTTTTTTTTTTTTTTTTTTTTTTGCTGTCTGGACAGTGGCTTTGGAATCTAAAGAATCCTGACCTCTAATCCTTTTCCTTAGCAATACCTGCTTAGCGTGCACTGCAGATGTCCAGTTAAGCCAGGAAGACCGAGGTGATCTTTGGCTTTTCATTCATTTTTTTTGGGGGGGGGTGTCTTTGAGCATGAGCTGTGTAGACATGTTACTTGGAATTCATGTCTACACAGGCCGAGAATTGGATTATGATGATTAAATTTATTATGTGCAGAGGTTGCTGTGATTTTAGCATCCCTGTTAACAAAATAAAAGCAGTTATTTAAAAAATCTCCCCAAAGCCTACCATAATCAGAAGGATAAGATTAATTGCCTTTTGTTAAAGTGTTTGCTCGATGCCAGAGGGACAGTGGGATGTAATTATTGCCATTTTGCTGATGAGGAAGAAACACTCAAAGGAGGCTAAAGAGGTCTCACAGGCTCTTGCTGTGATTGGGTTTGTAGTGTGGGCATCCAGACCCAGGTGTGCAAGAATCCAAAGCTGGTCCTTTATGAGCCACATACGTGGCAAGGCCGTGCCTAGGAAAACCACATAGACAAAGGGACACAAAACCTTAGGCAATTAATTCTCCTATTTACTTACTTTCATTTGTACTCCTATTTATTTGAAATTCAAAGTGAGAGAAGGGGGAGATCTTCCATCTGCTGGTTCAATCCCCAAATGCCTTCAACAGCCAGGGCTGGGCCAGGCTGAAGCCAGGAGCCAGGAACTCCATGCCGGGCACCACATTAGCGTCAGAGACCTAAGTACTTGACTTCCCAGAAGGTCCCTTAGCAGGGAACTGGATGGGAAGCAGAGGTGGGCTCAGCTGCAGGCACTGACGGGGTTGTGCAGATCCCAGAGGGCAGGCCAACTACTGCGCCCTAACACCCACAGCTCTGGCTGCAGTACAGCCTAACTCCTTGATCGAATCCTGCTTTTCATTTTTTTGTTGACATTATCAGCATGTCTTGGACAATCTTGATAACCAGCTTCAAGGAATTTTAAGGACTGTCTTTTGGTCTCAAGTGCACAGTTATTTTTCGGCCCTTCTGACTGTGGGGTCTTGAGACGCTCTGCGGAGCAGCAGTTGGGGACATCGGCACTCTTTTTGTTCAGCTCTTGGGAACAAGATACAGACACAGCTGCCTGTGCCTCTCAGCAGCTAGAGCACGTTGGAGGCACTAGTTCGTGTGCGTGGAGAGGACCAAGCGCTGGATCACATACTATGCACGCAGTGCGAGTAAATGGCCTTTCTCCATTTTACATGGAAGTGTTTCCTTTATAACTGTAGACACATAATTGTCATGTCAGGCATACTGAGACTTTTCCATCTTTTTCCTTTGGTCGTGGCCTCTTTGCTCCTGTGCACCTGATCTTCCTCCATGCATACCAACCCTGTGCGGGGATGCGTAGCCCGTGAAGTGTGCTCCTGCATATTTTTTTCCCACTATGTGCTTGCTTATGCAAGTAGAGACCTGTAGATGTATATAAATAGGGTATCATTTCACCTTAATCTTGTGGGTTACAAATGAGATGATTTGTATACTTTTTAAAAATACACATTCCCCCCCCCCCCCAATGAGCTCGCCCATTCCGGAGAATCTTCCTTCTAGAAATAAAAGCACCATCTTCCGTGCTTCCGTATCTGGGTGTTTCCTAAGGTGCTGTTCATTGTAGGAGAGGGAAGAGGAATCCGCGGATAAAAGATAATATGTCAACATCGTGGGACTCTGGGCGGGAACACACACACACACACACACACACACACACACACTTGGATTTACACCAGGTGTCTGTTCTGCCTTTCCCCTAGAGTGGTTTTACTGCAGTTATTCCTTCGCACCGGTTTAGTGGGACTCCGAGAGAGATGAATGTTCATGAACAGGCCTGTTTCTAGTTGAAATGATGCTGAGCAGTGCAAGTTCAGCTTTTAACTTTTCCTTCGGGAGCTCTGAGGTTGTCCTCACCTATTTTCAGTTTTGACCTGTGATAACCCTTCTGTATTTTGAAAACAAAATCCCCAGCCTACAGCAAATTAAATCCTTCCTTCTTGCCTAGCAGATGAAGGCGTTCAGCCTTCAGGTTGTCCCTTAAAAGCAGAGAACCAAGGGCATGTCAGGTCAGAAATTATTTCCAGAATATTTGGGACCTGCTGGGAATGAAGGAAAGAAACACTGTCTCTGTGTAACCAGAGCTGTATTTTTCCTTCTTTGTCTTACTCAGATTCGAGAAGGGGCGCATCTACACCTTCATCGGAGAAGTTGTGGTCTCGGTGAACCCTTACAAGCTGCTCAACATCTACGGGCGGGACACCATCGAGCAGTACAAAGGGCGCGAGCTGTACGAGCGGCCGCCGCACCTCTTCGCCATCGCGGACGCTGCGTACAAGGCGATGAAGAGGCGAGCGAAAGACACCTGCATTGTGATATCAGGTGTGGCTCCAGGGCTGAAACGTTGAACTCACTTGGTACTCCAGGATCCCAACAATGAATTAATATTTTTTTTAAAGGATAGAGAGCTAAATAATTTATATATATATATAAACTTCTTTTAAAAGTATTATCATCGTTCTATGATACAGTTCCATAGACCCTGGGATTTCCTCTCCCCGCTCCCCGCCCTATCTTATTGCTGTATTATTACTATATTATTCCCCTTATTACTATAGCATAGCTCATCATAAACAGTCACATGTTCATCTTTGCGGGCATGGACAATCTCATAGGTTATATAAAAAAAGATGATAAACATCAAATATCCGATTGCTTGTGCTGATAACCTTTAGGACGTGGTTGACTAACCTGTACCTATTACACTTGGATGGCTTGCGGTCAGCTTGCCCACAGAGCTGACGTGGGTAATGCTGCCTCCCGTCTCACTGCCTCGAAGTGCTGAGGGAAAATGTAGCAGCAGTTAGTTTGAATAATAACAGAATAAAGCCAAGAAAGTAAAATATTCAAAATAATTCAGAACCTGACTGGTGCTTGAGAGCGAGTGCAGTGGGATGTGGGGGTTCGGGGGGAGGGGGAGACCAGAAGCAGGCCTTGATTGCTGAGCGCAGGGCTGTGACGAAGAGCCCAGCCAGGAGGGAGTCACCCCCAGAACCCCTGGGCCAGAGAGCTGGAGCTGAACCACTGGGTCCAGCTGTACACTGCTGGGACTCTGATTTAGCGATACCAAGACAAGAAAAACATCTCCCCACTGACCCAGGGCGGCCACTCCCAAACTGTGGGAATTTCTTTTGGTGCTAATAATACTTCACGGTTGGTGTTGTTCGTTTTATACTTTTGAAAACACTTTTACGACTTTTGTTCCGTTTGGCTAGCGAAACAGCTCCCTCAGTAGTGTGTGAAACAGTTTCCTCCATTCTGCATGAGGGTGTAGAGTCAGGAGAGCTAGGTGACTTAGCAATGGAGATAGGCAATTGTATACAAGGACTACATTTTATTAAAACAGATTATAAAAGCAATGCTGTCTGCTTACAAAACTGGACAGCAAAGTGGTAACACAAGTGTGTGAGGTCAAAGCAAAAACTCCCGTTCCCTCCCAGATCCCAGGGGTAGCACCTGCTGACAGTTGAGTATTTATCCTTTTAAACATTTTCTCTGCATGTGCAAACATATATAGTCTCACATGCATATTTAATCATCAATAAATGTATAATTGTAGAATTAAATCCTACAGATTGAGCAGCCCTTGTCTGAAAATTCGAGATCTTGTACCTTGGGTGGAATATTCCATACCAGATCTCACATAATGAGTTACAGTTAAAACACAGGCACCCTGGAAGTACTGTGTGTAGTTACCGTCAGGTATATGAGGTGTGCATAGAACATGGAGGTATTGTGTGTTCAATCTGGGGTCCCACCTCCAAGATATCTTACTACTCAATGCAAATATTTCAAAGTCTGCAATCTGAAACACTTCTAGTCCTAAACACTTAGGATAAGGAGCACTCAGGCCTGGCGCAGTGGCCTAGCGGCTAAAGTCCTCGCCTTGAACGTGCTGGAATCTCATATGGATGCCGGTTCTAATCCCGGTAGCTACACTTCCCATCCAGCTCCCTGCTTGTTGCCTGGGAAAGCAGTCGAGGACGGCCCAGAGACTTGGGACTCTGCACCTGTGTCGGATACCTGGAAGAAGTTCCTGGCTCCTGGCTTTGGATCTGCGCAGCACCAGCTGTTGCAGTCACTTGGGGAGTGAATCATCGGATGGAAGATCTTCCTCTCTGTCTTTCCTCCTCTCTGTATATCTGCCTTTCCAATAAAAATAAATAAATCTTTAAGAAACAACAGGATAAGGAGCACTCAATGCATTATCATATAGAGCAGTCATCTTCTCATCAGACTGCGTGTACAAGTGTATTCTCTTTAACATGTGTAGCGTTCTGTTGAAATAGCTCAGTCATCATTTGTTTGCTCCCATCTCTCCTGATGGGTCTATCATAGCTGATTTTCAGCCATACCATATGGTAGAGTCTACAGAAATGGCTTTAAGAATTAAAAAATTATCACATTATTTGGCTATGTTAGTACTTTTTAGTATTTCCTTTAGGGAAACTTCTACAGTGTTTTTAATTATTTTTAAGATTTTAATTATTTTTACTAGAAATGCAGATATATAGAAGGAGACAGAGAACAATCCTCCATCCGCTGGCTCACTCCCCAAGTGGCCACAATGGCCAGACCTGAGCTGATCCGAAACCAGGAGCCCAGAGCTTCTTCTGGATCTCCCACACAGGTGCAGGGTCCCAAGGCTTTAGGCCATCCTTGACTGTTTTCCCAGGCCACAAGCAGGGAGCTGGATGGGAAGTGGAACATCTGGGACATGAACTAGTGCCCATATGGGATCCCGGCATTTGCAAAGCAAGGATTTAGCCACTAAGCTATCATTGCTGGGCCCTACGGTGTATTTTTTTTTAAGCCAGATAATATGGACAGGTACTTCTAGATCGATCCATTTCCACTGCCCCTAAATCAGTGACAGCAACTGTCATCCTTTTTCTGTGGTGCCTGTGCCTGGAGTTCACTCTTTTGTTTTTCTCATCAAAATCACTCTAACTGTACTTTTGTAAAATAACTATCCTATTTTAGGATGAAAAGAAATTCTGCTATGTAAAATGAGATTATGTGAATTTTACTGTGGCCATAGTTGAAATCAATTCGTATTTTCTACTTGCCTTAGGAGTCAGCACTAAGTACTAAGGAATAAACTGAGGAACTAGCTTACTACAAATTGTCAAAGTTAATTTTGATGTATAGTCTATTTGTCATTTTATTTCAACAGTCTTACACTTTTGAACGTGTTTGCATCTGTTAGAAGCAGTACAGTACAGGATATAATGAGTCAAAAGAAGAAAAAGAAAGAAAAACAAAACAGTACAACGCGAGGGGTTTTAAATAAGTAACGACACCTCTTCTATTACGAATCAGTTCGCTGTTGATTCACATTCTCACGTGAAGCCTTGCACACTTGTTCACCGCAGGGGAGAGTGGAGCTGGCAAAACGGAAGCCAGCAAGTACATCATGCAGTATATAGCAGCCATCACCAATCCCAGCCAGCGGGCAGAAGTGGAAAGGTAAGAGCTAATTGCTAGTGTGGACAAACCGTGACTGGTGCTGCGTCTGCTAGACAGACAAGCCCAACCCTCACCTCTGCTAGGGGTCCAACATTTCTGACAATTCTCCCACTCTGATTTTCTGATCGTATATTGTCTCCATACTTCCATTTATATTACTGTGTCTATTTCTGGATTTCTGTTTTAGTAGGAACATAGTAATTTTTACTTAATTACAAAACACATGAAAAACTTACTCTGAAACAGTTTAAAATGTCGCTGTTCTGGTTGCTAGCTGCTGACTTAACGATGGACAGCAGAGCTGTTACAATGGACGCTGGCAGGCTTTGTGTCCCTGCTCGTACAAGGTTCTGTGTTTTCTTCCGTACCAGGGTTTCTGTTGTTTTGCTTTTCAATTGTATTCTGACTAAAGCCTGACTCTAGGTGGGAAAGCCTTGCCTTCCTTTTTTTGCTACAACCAGAAACCACTGAGAGTGCAATTCTAAACAAGGTTGGTTTTCCCGGAGTGTTTCCTGCCCTACCAAGCTGCAGCTCACAGGAAGGCGAGCGGTAGTGTTGGTCTGTACTGTCTAGCATTCACAGCCGAGGTGGAGTTTGCACATAGTATTCACTTAATAAGTACATAAAGGAACGAGTGGTTGTAAAGCAACCCAGCCTGGTTTTCTTGTATGATATTCCCTGCTGTTTTCCTAGTTGACTGTTCGGTGTTTGTTTATCAAGCAGTCGCACCTTATCTGCATGCCAGTCTTTAGTTATATAAACAGGAAGAGGCCTAGTGACTAAAGTCCTCGCCTTGAACACGCTGGGATCCCATATGGGCACCGGCAGCCCCACTTCCCATCCAGCTCCCTGCTTGTGGCCTGGGAAAGCAGTCGAGGACGGCCCAAAGCCTTGGGACCCTGCACCCGCGTGGGAGACCTGAAAGAAGTTCCTGGATCCTGACTTCGGATCAGTGCAGTACCAGGTGTTGCAGTCACTTGAGGAATGAATCATTGGACGGAAGATCTTCCTCTCTGTCTCTCCTCCTCTCTGTATATCTGAGTTTGTGATAAGAATAAAATAATTCTTTAAATAAATAAACAAACAGGAAGAAAGGAATCAGAGCTGGTGTGACAGGATTCAAGCTCAGCCATCCAACTGAGATTGCTTCTTTTCATAACTGAGTGTTTTCCTAAATTGTGACCTGTCCTCTTTCCTGATTATGACTTTGCGATCTAAGTCAAGTAGTTCTTTTAATTTCGCTAGAAGCACAGGAGAATAACAGAGAATCAAATTACCCTGAGTTGAGCTAATGTAAGGCATATGTAAATTTATTAGTGTTCCACAATCATGCCTGACTATGGTTTTACAATTTTCTTTTAAAAGCAAGTGGTCCTACCCTCCCCCTGCACACAGACATTCTGAAAGTCTGCCTTCACTTTTAGAGAGACAAGGTTAAAGGGTCACTCCCAGTGTTAGAGGGGAGAAGAGTGAACCAGCTCTCTCGGGAGGTTTCAGAATCTGGAGTTATTCTATCAGATGTGCTTCTATTAGAGGAGTTTGCTCAGTTAAATAGAAGCGAGCATATAGAATTACTGTGAAGCTTAAATGTATAAACTGGGAGAAAGTTAGCCTTCACGGAGTGAAGAACGCATTAAATGATTATAAAGGAGAGCTTCCACATAGCTTCAAACAAAATAATGAGCAGCTCCAAAACTAATGAAGACCAAATTTATGATGTGTGGCTAACTGCACTAAAGTACCATTCCTCTGGGTTTAGACAAGGACAGGTGTCTCCCCGTTACCATGGGCTCAACCAACCTTGGATTGAAAATACTGCCGGGGGTGGGGGTGCAGTGGGGGGTTGGCTACAGTTTTTTTCTTTGTCTTTGTTCTCTGAACACTACAATGTGAAAACTCTGATAACACTTAGGTTGTAGTAGGTGTCATAAGGAACCCAGAGGTGATCCAAAGCCTATGGGGAGATGTGAGCAGCCCTCCAGCGTTTCGTATCTCCAAGGGACACACAAGAGGACAGTTGTTTAAAAGCTGTGTCATTCTTCTCTGTCACCCGTTTCTTCCCCGCCCCCCCCTTTAGTATATAAAAGGGTACTTCAGAAAGTTAATGGAAGATGGAATTAAAAGATGTTTATTTTGGTGCAGAATAAACTGGAATCCATCCATAGTTTTTTTTTTTTCATAGTAAGCTCCATGAAGTTATTGAAAACCCCTTGAATCCTTCTAAGTCTTTTTTCTTTTTGTAAATATTTAAGAGAGAAACCAAAAATTTCTTTATTAAGTTGAAAGTCTTCTAAAGTCTTACTTCGTCCACCCCATCAACCTCAGCCTAGATAACCATAGTAGGGTGTGTTGGTCCCTGCAGATGTTTTTTAAACATTTACTAGCACATGTGTGCACACACACCCACAAATATATGCAAAGATCCGGCAATACGTATGATCTTGCAACTTGGTTTACATGCATTCATATTCAGGGTGTATTTCCAGGTCAGCATGTGTTGATGTACCCAATTTTTTTTAAGGACCTGGGTAGCGTTTTGTGTTTAAAGATTTATTTGTTTTTGTTGGAAAGTCAGATTTAGAGAAGGAGAAACAGATCTTCTATCCACTGGTTCACTCCCCAAGTGGCCTCACCAGCTGGAGCTGAGCCAATCTGAAGCCAGGAGCCAGGAGCTTCTTCCAGGTCTCCCACACAGATGCAGGATCCCAAGACTTTGGGTCATCCTTGACTGTTTTTCCCGGCCACAAGCAGGGAGCAGATGAAAGTGCAGCAACCAGGATATGAACTGGTGCCCACCTGGGATCCCAGCCTATATAAGATGAGGACTTAAGCCACTAGATTATTAACATATCAGGCCCATTTTGCTCTTATCTGTTCCTACTGTTGGCCATTTAAGTAATTTGTGCTTTTTTGATATGGTAAATAGTGCAGTACTCAGCATCTCATATAAATATGCATGTGTTTTAGGAAAACTCAGTTTTTAAAGAGTTTGGTCTCTAAAACTTTTCATTTCTCTCTGTTAAAGAGTGAAGAATATGTTGCTGAAGTCCAATTGTGTTTTGGAAGCTTTTGGAAATGCCAAAACCAATCGTAATGACAACTCAAGCAGGTTTGGAAAATATATGGATATCAACTTTGACTTCAAAGGAGACCCTATTGGTGGACATATCAATAACTACTTACTGGAAAAGGTAAATTTGCTTAATTCTGATTGTAATATCTATAAATGCCAAATGCCAATTAGGTCCAGCATTGTGGCATGGTGGGTAAAGCAGCTGCCCTCAACTCCAACATCTTATATGAGTACCAGTTCACGTCCCATTTACTCCACTTCAAATTCAGCTGCCTGCTAGTGGCCTGGCAAAAGCAGCAGCAGGTGACACAGGTTCTTGGGCCCCTGCTACCCATTTGGGAGATCAAGAAGAAGCTCCAGGCTCCTGGCTTTGTCCTGGCCTAGTTCTGGCCCTTGCAGCCCTCAGGTGAGCGAATCAGCAGATGGGAGACTCTGTCTTCATATGTTTCTCCCTCTAACTTTGACTTTCAAACAAATAAATGCATCATTTTTTTTTTATTAAAAAAAATACTTGATTATAGAATTTCTTCTATTTCTTCAACATAATGTTTATTTCTCTCCTCCCTCTTCAATTAGCTTTCTGTAATGCACTCTTTTTGTATTGTCTTATTAGTCTGTAGAGTTACGTTGACAAAGTTATCAGTTTTGCAGATACAGATTTAGGCGTTACGGGGACACGGAAGGGGTGGGTATCCTGTTGCCATCTTCTAGGTAAGAGTTAGCATGAACCAGTCTAGAGCCAGTCAGTTCTAGTCTTACACAGATTTTAATTTGAATTGTTTTGGATTCTCATTTTCTTCCACTTCTACTTGTTCACTACTCTGTAGTAACTTGTGTATGTTTTGTGATCTTATATCTTAATTATGAAGCATTTAGTCACTGAGAATTAGGCCCAATTTCTAGAAGATTCCGATTAAGACCTTCCTCTTGGGACTGTGTCCCAGCCAGCCTTAGCAATGACTGAAGCCAGTCGTAAGAGAGCAAATGGATTTCCTTCACCCAGTTTTTACCATGAATCTTGCGCCTCACAAAGTCACGTCTGCTGCTGAGTCTTCTCAGGTCTGAGCTGGCATTCTTCCTCAGTTCAGGGTTTCCCTTCCCAGTTCATGTCACAGCATCCTTTCTGTCAAGGTAATTTGTACCGAAGTCTGATAAGTAGATGTTATGTTAGAGTCTGTTGAAGATACAAAAGAAATTCTAGGTATTACAGGCCTTTTTCTCAAAATATTTTTCAAAGTATTTCATGGACCTGTCTTGTGTACATACATGATCAGTCAAAAGGATCCCCTGTCTTCCGGGAGCAGCTAAGGCTAGAGTCCCTAGAGACACATCTGGCTGAGCTGATTTTATTACAGGATGTAAAGCATTGCTCTCTGAAATGCCAGCAGTCCCTGGGGAAGGCAATGTTAAGCCTATTCCTCCCTAGAGGTTCCTTCCTAGTCCCTCTACCTCCAATCCCTCCCCCTCACCAAATTCCGTATCCAGGCTACCGGGTAAACGAGAACATCAAAATAGCTCATTCTTCAGAAAGTTTTGGGACCTCTGTTTTAACCAGTGGAAAGGAGCAGGAAACCGCAGGGAGAAGACCTAGTTTTACACGAGCGCCATCTGTGGGATCCTCAGAACATTGAAACGCACTGTATGCATAAGATTTTGTAACAATGTGGCTTCCATTTCATTCTAGGAGCACACTTTCAGATTAATCTTTTTAATTTTTTTTCCCCCTATAGTCCCGAGTGATTGTACAACAGCCAGGAGAAAGAAGCTTCCATTCTTTCTATCAGGTTGGTAATCTATTATGTAGATAATTAATCATTTGCTCATTTGTGCAGAAATGAGTATTTTTGTTTTTTAATATTGGGCTCTTCTCTGGCTTATTCCTCCCTTTGCTACGCATACACACACGCTCTCCCCTACCACATTATTAGCCGTGCTAATATTTGCATGATGTTAAAACAAAAGGAACAGGGTTAGGATCAGACACATCTGGCTGCTGGACTGTCGTGAAGAGCCAGTGTGTACCAGCAAGATGACTGCTGTGGTCGAGCCTGCGCCATCACCTGCATTGCTTTGTAGCACATAACAGCTTAATGACTGCATGCAGTACATTCTAAACATGTTAAATTAATTTTTTATTTTAATTGGAACTGTTTTTCCCACCTTTGGGGGTTCTAGAAATGGGGATGCAAATTTGGTGTGCTTTGCACATTTAGCCTATAAAACAAGTTGGTTAGCTTTTAAAAAATAATCAGGATTTATACATTCAAGGGAGAATGGTCTTCTTTATCCTATCAAAATATAAGAAAAAAATATTAAATACCTCTTTAGGGAGTGCTTTTGCAATGTAAAGCAAAATCTTTTTAACAGTCTTCCTGTTGCTAAGTCTACACTCAGGGAACAAGTTTGGTACATTGTTATAATGTTTTAAGGTCTAGGACATTGTGAACCAAGGCTAATAAATGAAGTGTGTGATGAAATCAAGCAAGATCAGTGCCCCTGTGTACACTGCCTCTGAAGCTGACTGAGTGTTGATGACACATTGGAGTGCAGCTCACACCAGTTCATTGTCTTGTAGGTAATGCTTCAGTCGGCACTACCCACTGGTGCACACAGTTTCTATTCTGTTTGGCTAGAAAATCCGTTGTCAAAGTCTACTAACTAGTCCTTTTTAAATAAACTAAATCCTGCGTTTGATATAGAGAATTTAAACTATTCTACAAAATATGAGAGTTCTGTGTTTTCCACAAACTCTTCTAACTCTTCCCCATTTGAATGAGTGTATGCAACACTGAGTCGTGGTTGTCTTCCTGTCCTCCTTGCCTGAGGTTCCCAAGGCTGGTGAGGACAAGTTCCTGTTCCCAGTGTGACCAGGCACGTGATTGTCTGCTGGGGCCTTTTACTCCATGGCAATGTTGACTTTTTCTAAAATCTGAAACACACCGGTATTCTGTTGTTGTGGGGTTGCCTGCAAGTGGCCACTCTCCAGCATGGGGTCTCACTTCACAAATGACATATCCAAAGCCGGAACTTTGCGTTTCAGGGGTGTGATGACTGAGCTGTGACTTTCAGGGTGGTTTACGCTCTCCATCACTGAAGACACTGAAACCCGTTACTTATCTGCAAGGGGAAGAATGTTCTTCAGTGCTGGAAGCAGAAAAGCCGAGATGTATAAATCCCAGAAATTGAATACTAGCCAGATTAGCGCAGGTTTTGGAGTGGTTTATTAGATTCAGTGTGTCTGTTACCAATTTTCTCCTAATTGAATATTTTTCAGCTTCTGCAAGGAGGTTCTGAACAGACACTGCGCTCTCTACATCTCCAGAAATCCCTTTCATCCTACAACTATATCCACGCAGGAGCTCAGCTAAAGGTGAGACTCGCCTGCTCAGAGAAGCCATCAAACACAACCTTGAATAATAATCTGTTGGAGCTTGCTGCCTTTGAGCAAATCAGTGTTTCTCCTGTTTTTTAAATTCTCAGGGACAGTGATTCAATCCATTAGGGAATAAACGTCTTCACTGAAGAACCCATTTTGATATAGTTGATCACTAGTATATTCTAGTCAGCTTCGGATTTTTTACATTTTCTCCCTTCCCTTCCATGCACACATGTGTGTGCACAACTTTACTCTTGTTTCTGCTTATTTTTCTGCTAGTCATTTTACCACCAACACCAATGATGTTTCTGGTTGGTTATAATAATTACATAAGGTACATAGAATAAGAAATGGAGAAATATGGGCTCACATTTGAAAAATTTTTACTTTATGATACAATTCCATAGGCTGTGGGATTTCCCCACTGATGGGGGTCACAATTTTGTTTATTTCACATGGATGGGATTTTGGATGGTTGTGGTTTGCTTTTCCATGTTTAATATTTCTCTATAATAAAAGTGTATTACTCTTGTAGTTGGGTAAAAAAAAAAAAAGACAACTATAAGAGAAAAGGACCAAAATGTGGGAAATATTTTAAAATGTTTTACTAGTTGTTTTAAGTTACTTATACTTTCATTACTGTTTTAGCTGTATTTTTATTGCTGTGCAAGGAAATAAATAACATGTGAGTTTTTGTAATTTTACCTTTTTTTGATATTGTATTGCACCAACTCTATTTTATAGTTATCTGAGAGTGGCAATGTTTAGCTGAAAATTAAAGGAAACAGAAAAACAATAGACAGTACTCCAGTATCCTGTAAGTTGACCAAGGGTACTTACAGATGTAAAAGGATTGTAAGATCAACACTTAAAAATCTAGTGACTAGGCATTTTTTTTTTCAGTCAGATTGTCTTACTAGCCAATGGTCGTGTCATATAGTGAATTTACTACAGAATGTATTACATTAGCACTTGGCCTTTGTTCTAAATTAAATTTAGCTTTGAGTCTGGTTTCACTCAAGCTTTCCACTCCTACTTTGCTTCTTTTTTTCATCGTCCTCTGTAACAGATTTAAAATTTAAAAGCAATCATACTCAAAATCCAAAATAGGAGCAGACATGCGGCTGAGATCTTGAGATGCCTGTTGGAACATCTGTGTCCTCTGTCAAGTCCCAGCTCTGCTCCTGAGCACAGCTTCTAGCTAGTGAACACCCCGGGAGGCAGCTGATGGGTGGTTCAGGTTGCCTTTGTGGGGAGACCATGATTGTGATCCCCAATCCTGGCTTTGATTTGGCCTAAGAATTTTGGTGGTACAGGGGAGAAGGTGGTGAACAAACATGAGTCTCTCTCTCCGTGTCTGTCTGTCTCTCTCTCTCTCTTTCTTTTCTCAATAAGTAAATTCTAAATTTAAAAATTTAAAAATTCAGCTGTAGGCCCTGATGGAATACTGACTTCCAGGTATTCTCACTGCCAAGAACTTTAAAAAACAGTAACAGCAGCAGCTTCGAGCTAGCATGTAGAGCAGATTAAGCAGTTGCCCGTGATGATAACGTCTCTGATCAGAGTGCTAGTTCATGCCGTGGCATCCCTGCTGCCCATCCAGCTCCCTGCCAGTGCACTTGGGGAAGCAACAACAGATGGTCCAAGTGCTTAGATGCTGCTGCCCACATGGGAGACCTGAACGGAGTTCCAGACTCCTGGCTTTGACCTGGCCCAACCCAGCCACTGCAGCCTCCTGGGGAATAAGCCAGTAGATGGAGAATCTCTTCTCTATTTCTCCCTCTTTATGCAACTCCCTTTCAGATGAGCTGGTTTTTTTTTTAATTTTAATCTTTCAAAATTAAAGCTGAGACAAAAGGAAACAAAAATACACAGAATCTTACTATGAAGAAATAATTACTGATAGTGGTTTCTGTGTATATTTATAAATGTGTTCCCGCGATACAGCTTAGGTAAACATGCTTTTGCCATATTATGATATAATCGTTAGTACCTTCCCATGCAAACACATGTAAATCATAATAGTAACTATGAAACATCATGCTATATGTCTCTTACTCAATCCTAAAATATAGAAATTGTGTATAATGAAGGTATTTTGAGTTACAGCCAAGAGAAGACCCAAGTAAGAGTCTCCAAAAATAATAAAGAATTTAATTTCAGGAAACAGGGAGCCCTACTTGGAGCATTTCCTTGTTGATTAATTTGTTGCGCCTTAACAATATTGCTAGTAGGGATCCAGCTGGTCTTTGTTTCCCTGGCTTACAACCCTGCCATGCTCAGTGGACTAGCTCATGTTTTAGGCTTGGTTTGCAATTTTGGCCCCAAAATCACATTCAAATAGTTAAGGAGAAAGGCTTCAGTCCCTTTGTAAGCTAGAAAAACATTCCCAAGTCCTCCTTTCACCTAAAACACTTCTGTCTTATGGATCAGAATGGCATCCTAAGCCCATGACGAACCATTCTCTTGGTTCAGAGGTTGAGATCGCCATGATTAGTTCAGAGCAATAAAGATTTACCTGCTGACTCTGTTGGAGGGCAGTCATGAAAGACAGTGTACTTAGAAGTAGACAACTCAGGATTCTATCAGCAAGGAGCAAATGGGATGAGAGACAGCTGTTAGGGACGCAGTGAGCAGTTCGCCTTGCATCATTCAGGTTGTGGTCCAGTTACTTTGCCTTTCCAACACAGTGGCCATGAATGACAGTGACATTGGCTACTTCTACAGCGATTTGTTTATAATGTGCTAGGAACTAGGGAGGCATTTTATATAGATTCTCACTCAGCTTTCACAGCAACCCTGTAAGAAATGTGTTACTATGCTCATTTTATCCATGAGGAATGTGAGGCTCAGCAGGGTTAAGTTTCTTGCACCAAGAGTAAAACAAGACTGAACACCTTGTAGATACAGGAGCTGGTAGGGTTGTCTCCTTCACCCAGAGGAACATGTGTCCAGCTGTCAGGTGGAGTGGTCCTCCCTCCCTCCGCAGTGAACATTGGGCCAGGTCTCTGTGTCCAGACAAAAGGAAAAGCTCAGTGAGGAGAGAGCTAGTCAGGAAACGTAGTTACCATTGCTCTCCTGGATTTTGTGGGTTTTGTTCCACACCTGTGTTTCCAAGCTGACAGCTGCAACTCCTGCAGGGCAGGTGATTCATCCGGGAACTCTCCTCTGTGTCCCTTGGATGATCAGGCGCCCAAATGTGGATCAAATGAATGCAGGCAGGCAGAGCTGAAAGCTTGCTGCTTGGCTGAAGCTGGCTGCGCAGCATTGGAGAACCTCTATTTCCTCACCTGAGAAAGCCTGATGAGGCAGGAGTGGGAGCGCTGGTGCCAGTCTGTGCACGTGAGCTGTGGATCACAGACCACAGATGAGAACAGATAGCATGTCTTTGGGAGGCTCCCACATTCCAGGCTTCCTCCTGCCTCCTCACCTCCCCCTGCCTTCACACACGGGGAGCAGCAGTTGGCCTCTCTGAGCCAAGGCAGGACTCAATGCCTCCACCACCTTGTCTCACGTACTGGTTTCAGCACTTAAGTGAGCTTTAACTTGCTGAATGATGTTTCCACTCCCGAAACAGTTTTTCTTTCCTGTGGACGCTCCTCATTTTTGCACATGACTTCTCACCAAGGTGTAAGACCTTTGGCCACCCTTGGGTTTGATTTCACAGTTGCTGGATATTTAGGCTTCTGTGAAATGTGTGTGACTTGAGTTTCCTGTTTTCACTCCTAGTCATCTATCAATGACGCTGCAGAATTCAAAGTTGTAGCCGATGCCATGAAAGTGATTGGCTTCAAGCCCGAGGAGATTCAGACGGTGTATAAAATCCTGGCTGCTATTCTTCACTTGGTGAGTAGGGCGGTCTCCTCCCAAGCAACTGTCCACCCTCCCAAGCAGAATCCACCTTCTAGGGACTATGTTGTCTATCTTGACTGAAGAAGAAATTTATTTAGAAGCCATGTGGCTTATGCCTCAAGGAAATTACTTTGCCTGTGGTTCTCACCATCATTTTACAATCTTATGCAGGATTGAGGTGATGGTTTCGGTTTATTATCTTAATTGGGATCAAACTTCAAGCCAGTTAATGCCAAGGATAAGATCCAGTGTAGCTACACAGCAGGGGTTATTGACTGTCTCATGTTGCGATTGGCTGACAGGTAGTATCGCTGCCCCAGAGCCCTGCTGCTGACTGCTTCCTGAGCTGCCACCTTGGAACTAACTTTATGATACATGAGTGTGCCTTAGTCAACTTCTTGTTACTATAATGAAATGCCCAAAATAAACCTCTTGTGAAGGGAAAAGAGGTCTGTTTCTACTCAGTCTGAGGTCAGGCCGGCACCTGTGGTTCAGCCTTGGGTAGCGGTGTTCTTGCTATTGGAGTCCTAAGCAGCACAAGGCAGCACATGCTTTCAGGACTGTGCTTGACTTGTTCTGTCTCAGGTTTCCCAGGGTAGCCAAGGGTGGACATATTGACAGCCACTCCTCCTGTGTGGGTGTGGCTTCCAATGAGGACCCAGGGTTTTGTTCTGGGGCTCTGCACTAATGACTCAGTCCAGTCCACCCACCTTCCAAAGACCACTTTTTCACTGAGATTAAGTTGCTACCTCTTAGTGCCATTAACACAAGACTTTGGGAATCAGACTTTTAGCACAGGCCTTCATGGGACGTTCAAAATCCAAACCATAGCAGAGTGGCAGAATGAATTCAAATCTGGAATAGAAACTTGTGTCTCACTCTACTGTAGCAAGGTTTAACTCTAAATGATTCAGAAATGAGCAAGATCTGTATGAAGAGTTGTACATAGCAGTGCAAATGACCAGTGTCCTAACCAGAAAGTCAGAAACCGAGTGATCTCTCTGAATTCCTTTGTAGATGCAGTGAGCAATCCCTGTCAGGGTCTAAGTAAGAACGTTATTTTGTTTCTTACTTGGCTTGATGACTCAAGAATTCAATTTGAACAACAAACCTGTAAGAGGAGCAAATAGAATATGTGAAAGAGGAGTAGTAGATCAGGAGAAAGAAAAGAGATGTAACTAATTCTACCAAATTTATAATGTGAGTAAAAGCTGTAACACTTCATAACTTGTTGCACAAATCCAGCATCAAATCAACAGATTGGTTGACAGGCTGGACACTTGGTAGAGCGCTAATTAGAATGCGTTACTTCTGGAGTAAGAGCAATATAAATAGACTTAAACAGTTGAGGAATTTTAATATGTATGAAAGGTGACATTTCAGATTAACAGGAAGAAAAGGCCAGAATATCCCATACATGATGCTAGAGCAGCTGAGTAACCTCCTGGGAAACTTAAGGCAGATTCTCATTTTGTACCACATGGAAGAATAATTCTGGGTGGATTAAAAGTTTAAATTGGAGACAAAAATATGTAAAAAGTAATAGAAAAAAATATAATACTCTTATGTTTGGAGTAGGAGTGGTTTAAATATGACGTCAAAGAAAGAAAACCCTAAAGCAAAAGATAGATTTGAACAAAAGTGTAAAGTTTCCATCCACTGAAAGCAAATGCTAAAGATGAAAAAAGCAGTGAGTGGTTGGGGAAGGGGAAAGAAACAAATGAAGCCCCAGGCTTTCATGTGTTGGGCTCTGTCATCCAACTGGGAAAGGAGATACAAGCAAGGTCACATGGATTTTATTTTGGATTGATAACTGTGTCCCTAGCGTAATATTCCAGCATCTCATTGGACGTGGTGTACCTTGTTTTCTCGCCTCTGATGCAGGGAAATTTAAAATTTGTAGTGGATGGAGACACGCCTCTGATTGAGAACAGCAAGGTTGTGTCTGTCATAGCAGAGCTGCTCTCCACGAAGACGGACATGGTGGAAAAAGCCCTCCTCTACCGCACGGTGGCCACAGGCCGAGACATCATCGACAAGCAGCACACGGAGCAGGAAGCCAGCTACGGCAGAGACGCCTTTGCCAAGGTGAGAGTCTCACACGTGTTCTGTTGAGCACAGTCCTGTGCGGTCACACACAGGTGCTCCTCCGAGGTACTTCAAGACCTTTAGAAACTACAGTGATGCCCCGTAGCCGTCAGAGGCTCCATGAAACCTTCTCGGTGGGAGTGTGATGGCCAGCAAAGGCTCTGAGCAGATCAGACCAGCCCTGGGATACCATGCTTACTGTCCAGCTCCCTCTCTTTGTGCAGGCTCCTTCCCTGGCCCCCCAGGTTGCTCTTCTCATTCAGAGGAGGCCCCTGCAAGTCAGATGGACAAGTAGTAGTCTATTATTGAAGCTTTATTTTCTTTTTAATTGACAAATAATAATGATATATAGTTATATATGTCATAAGGTTTTGATATATGGTATACCCTACGATATTTTTCTTTGGGGCTGTTTTTATTGTTAATATCTTTCTTTTAAAAAAAAATTGTTTATTTTTTATTGGAAAGGCAGAAGGAGAAAGAGAGAAATCTTCCATCTACTGGTTCACTTCCCATGTGCCACAACAGCCAGAGCTGAGCCAATGTGAAGCTGGAAGCTTCTTCCAGGTCTCCCACATGGATGCAGGGTCCCAAGGCTTTGGGTTGTCTTTGACTGCCCTCCCAGGCCACAAGCAGGGAGCTGGATGGAAATGGAGCAGCCAGGACAAGAACCATTGCCCTTATGGGATCCCGGCAAATGCAAGACAAGGATTTAGCCACTAGGCCATGTGCCAGGCCCTTTATTGTTCATCTCTAAGAACTCTCTAATTTTTTTTTCTTATTATTTTTTAACATTTTCCCACCTTCACTTCTAATGTGAACATTATATGTATAGACATACACACTGTTTTTTTCTTGAAATCAGAGCTACTGATGTTACAGAGTGAGGGATTCCTAACAGTGATCATCACCGGGGGAAGACGGGCATGTTGTTATTTACATGGTGTAGTTCATCGAATAATGATGGGGTGAAGGAAATGTGGTATCTGTGTGCATGACAGGATGTGACTCAGCCATTGAAGAAAAGAAATCTAACATTGGCAACAAAGTGGGTGCAATTAGAGATCATTATGCTTAGTGAAATAAGCCAGACCCAAAAAGTTTTTTTGTTTTTTTATGTTTTGTCTTATTTGTAGAGTAAAAGTATAGTGTGGCCATAGTATCATTTGCTATTTGGTTATAAATTTTGATTCACTATGAGTTTTTAATAACGTAAACTTTAACCCTTTGTCTCTTATCCATTTGGCAAGTATTGTGTTTCCCCACGTTTGCTTTTTGGTTTTGTTGTTACTTTGCTTGTTGATCAGATAGTTATTTATTTAGTTTTTATTTCGTTAGTCTAAGGTTTGCTTTTTTTTTAATTTATGGGGCAATTTTTATTTCTTCTGAGTACAATGAAGAGCATCTGGAGGATTTTAAGGAATGGTGGCATCAAGCCTGTAAGTGTAGAGGGAGGCACTAAATAGTGCATCAGGTTAAACCCTTTGGTGCTATTTGGAGTCCCCATTGCTCAACTTCCCATCCAACTCCCTGCTGATGCACCTGAGCAGATTGCCCAAGCCCTTGGGCCCCTGTTCTGATGTGGGAGACATGGATAGAGTCCAGCCCTAGCATTGTAACCATTTGGTGAGTGAACCGGCAGATAGAAGATATGTGTATGTGCATATTGTATCTCCCATTGTGTGAAATTCAGCATTTCAAATGCTAAATCTTTTATTTAAAATTTTAAAATGATAACTCTGGCCTTGATGTGGACAGTCTTACTTATGGTAGAACAAAAATGGAAGCAAAGAGATTAAGTAAGGAAATGTTTGATTACTTCAGGAGAGAGGTGGTTGTGGTTTGGGCTAGGAAGGCAGCAATAGGAATGTGGAGTTGTAGATGGATTCAGATGGTCTGTGTTGGGAAAACAAAATCAAAAGATGTGTTATATGTGGAACAGGAAATAACCCTGTCTCCTGACTGATTTCATACCATATTGCATGTTCTTTCTTCATCCGTTATGGAGAAACCATCCCCTGAATACTGAGTAGATCAAATACCCTTCAGAGCCCATGCATCCTCCTCCTCTTGTGTGCATGTTTGAATGGATTTTGTCTTTGCCCACTCCCTAAGCTTCCTAGAGTATGTTTACTTAATACTATATCTTTAACAAACTTGCACAGTAAGTACTGGCCAAATACTTAAAGAATGGATGAATTCATTCCCAAGTGTTACCATTTATTCATGGATAAAAGTAGGGTAGGAACCATTTTTGAAGGTGAGAAGATCAGGAGGGTTGACAAGTCAGGAGTGAATGCCAGACATCAGAGAGCCATGATCAGGTAGAGGAAACCTCAACAGCAAGTATGAGTCTGGAACTCCGAGGTACTCTTCCAGTTTTGGGTTGAGTGACATATTTTGGAGCTGTATCAGCTTTGCATTGTTTCAGCTAAAAAAACTAAAAATCCTGTGAGGAGCTACTTAGGAAGGAAGAAGGTTGGTTTCTGCTTACAGTGGAGATTCACAGCCCAAGATCGGCTGGCCCCAGTGACTCGAGCATCTCCTGAGGCTAGAGGATGGTGGATGGGGATTGTATGGTGAGCTGGGAAGCAGGAAGAGAAGGGAAGTCTCCACTCTTAGCCCATCAGCCACTAGTATTAATCTGTTAACCAAGTGGTATAAATGTCTGCATGAGTTTGGGGAGCTAAGTCATGTTCATGTTCTGCTAATACTATTTAATTCTGGAAGAGGTGACTCTTACAGGGTGCTCAAGAGTGAAGAGAATCAGGAAGAACTCCATCTTCTAGAGGTTAGGGAGAGAAGACCTTGCCAGAAATCAGCAAGGAGAAGCAGCCGGTAAAAAAAGGAAAATTAGGAAAGAATGATGCCGCAAGTCTCAAGGAAAGGATGTTCTAGAAGAGAGCGAGAAAACACGATTGACAGAAGCTCAGACGCTGGGTGTAACGTCCTTAGGGAGGGAGTGCAAGTGTGTAGAAGTGCTTGGGGCCTGTGACAGTAAGAGGCCGTAAGTAAAGACTGAGGCAACGTGTATGGTGAAGAGCGGGTATCCAGAGCGAGATGTTAGGAAGGGGTTGGTGTGATGTGCAGGCCCCGTGTGCGTCAGGGCGGGGGGACATGGGTGTCTGTGCACGGGTATCCTTGAACAGCAGGTGTTTGATTCTCGAGAAATTTCAGACCTTGTCCTTTTGGTGTTAAAAGTCAGTGTTTATGTTTTTTAGAATTCATGAAACTTGAGTGAGATGTGCACACTTACACCTTAGTTCCTGACTTTTTGTAGTTGTTTAAAGCAATGAAGGAACTTACGTGAGGGACTAGACGAATCATCAGAGCAGTCGGGCACAGAAGCATGTCTGTGGAATGCTGTTGGGGTGTGTGTAGCGACTGATAATATTCTTAGACTAGTAACAGTTACCCCAACTTTAAGGAGAAGGTGGGTGGGAATCTAAAACCTCACAAATCCAAACAGAGGACTCTTTCCTGAGTGGACAAGAGTTTACAATGTTGTTTTCTTCGCAGGCAATCTACGAGCGCCTATTTTGCTGGATTGTTACTCGCATCAATGATGTTATTGAAGTCAAGAACTACGACACCACAGTCCATGGAAAAAACACTGTTATCGGCGTCTTGGACATCTATGGCTTTGAAATCTTTGACAACAACAGGTAAACTGGGTAATACACAGAAAACACTGTTGCTTAGTCTGTATTTGTTTAAACCTAATTTGCTATTCTTTTTGTAGCTTTGAACAGTTCTGCATCAATTACTGCAATGAGAAACTCCAGCAGCTGTTCATTCAGCTGGTCCTGAAGCAGGAGCAAGAGGAGTACCAGCGGGAAGGGATCCCCTGGAAGCATGTGAGTGCTCCCCCAGTGCTGCCCATCACTGACCAGGTCACATCTTACATGTCACATGTCTCGGTCTTCTTGACTGCTTGAAACGTCTGAACCTTAGCTTTCCTTCTTGGAAAAATGTAAATAACAAGAAACGTTCAGGTTTGTGAAATGGAGTTTCTCAAATTCGAAAAATTTCCTTGTTGGTACTCAGAAAATGCTGAGTTACAAACAGTGGACTTAATGTTTTCATTGTATGCCTGTTATGCTAAGGGCCTTCTGGTTGATACCTGCAGTAGAGGTTAGCATCATTTATGCTATGAAGTTCTTGCCTTGAATTGGCTGGACTTTATTTCCAAACCTGTTTTGTCCTTCTCCCTGCCTTTCTTTCTTTTTTCTTTTTTTCTTTTTTTAAGATTCATTTATTTTTATTACAAAGTCAGATATACAAAGAGGAGGAGAGACAGAGAGGAAGATCTTCTGTCCCATGATTCACTCCCCAAATGAGCACAACAGCCAGTGCTGTGCCGATCTGAAGCCAGGAGCCAGGAACTTTTGTCTCCCACACGGGTGCAGGGTCCCAATGCTCTGGGCCGTCCTTGACTGCCTTCCCAGGCCACTAGCAGGGAGCTGGATGGGAAGTGGAGCTGCCAGGATTAGAACCAGCACCCATATGGGATCCCAGTGCGTTCAAGGCGAGGACTTTAGCCACTAGGCCACGCCACCGGGCCCTCTCCCTGTCTTTCATACCCTCTTGTTCTTCCTCTTCTCATTTGCAGATTAAATAGCATTTTATTCTCATCAGTGGTCTTCATATCCTCTGAAACCATGCATAGAAATATCTGAATTAATTTTCACAACCCCGCCCCTTAATTTGCTTTGTATCACACTTGAATTATCACCTCCATGCTCGTGGCTCTTGGGAACTTCTGTATCTGTCAGAGCATACTAGTCTGGTGAGCTCTAGCCAGGAAGCGCCACTGGCCCAAGGCCCAAACCCAGAAATGGCACAGCTCAGCTGCACAGTTTACTGGGCTGATTCCTGTGACAGTAGAAATAAGGCAGTGTCATTTTTCTTCTCAATTTATGTGCATTTTTTTTAACCAATTCAGAAAACAGATCTATAAATGGAAGATTGTGAATTTCCATAGGTGTCTACCACGGAGTTTTGTCCTCTTGCCAGACAGTGCAGATGAAGTCAGTAAAGCTTCCATCAGTGTCCACAGGGAGAGCTGACCTCCTGTGGGTACAAACCTGCACACCGTCCAGGGCCTTATGTAAAACGCAGATGACTGCAAACAGCAAGCATAAATGCTGTGTAAATAACTGTTGTACCAGATTGCTTAAGGAGTGATGGCAAGCAAAACTTACCTGTACCTGCTCAGTCCGCATGAATCTGTTGTGTAGGCATAATATAACCGAAACTTAACTGGTTTTTTATTGCAAATTCAATCATAAAACTTGTTATTCAGATGTGATTCAGAGATTCTGGTCAAAAATATTCTCCGTCAATCAGAAAATCAAATTGGATGAGCATTATGGATAACCCTGCGTCACCAACTTGAAACATTATTGAAACAATATTGAAACATCAATAACTTTGGAATCTGGGGGCAGATACTTCCAGTGAGGGGCTGTCCCGGGCAGTCGTGGGGTGCTGAGCAGCGCCTTGGCCTCCAGCCACAGGATGCCTCGTGTGTTCTTCTGGTCACAAGCAACCGAGAATGTGTCCCAAATCACAGAGCGGCAATCACGAGTTACCAGCCTAGACAAAATGGAGAAGTATACGAAAGGGAGCCAAAGCCTTCCAGTTTGCAGACCTACCAAGACCAGGAAGCGAGCTGCAAGGCACAGGCTGTAAAGCATGGAACGGGGGTACAGCAGGCCTCCATAGGAATGGAGACAAGGGCCACCAAGGGACCCCTTACATGAGAGGGACACATCAGCACACGGGTTGGAAAGGATGGTGATGAGGTGTGCCTCTCCCTGGTGTATGTCAGGAGTGGGCAACAGCAGCCTGCAGTATAACCAGGTGGGGTAGGGGGTTTTTGCACACACCTTTGAAATTGCTAAAAAGCCAGAGTTATAATTTCATTCACTCATGTAAGCAAGTGAAAGCTTACCTTTTATGGATATTTGTACCTCAGTTAATATTTTTGCATTATACCCAGAAAATATTGTCAAAACCCAGACTCGTAGGCTTTGTGACTTTCAGAAAACTGGGAGAAATATCCTTTTGCATTGCAGTCACATAACTGAGACTTTGAGTTCTGTATGGGATCCTAATTTCATTATTAAGTAGTATATTAAATAATGATTTGTGTTATCAACTGTTGGCATTTGAGGGAAGCTAGGTTGGTCTTGTGGTTGAGTGTGAATAAATTAGGAGATTGGGGATGGTTGTGGGTGGGACAGAGACGGGACTGAAGCAAGAATTGGTAATGGAGAAGTGCTCCCCACCCTATAATCTCACTCTGGGCTTCACCCATTGCAGTTAAAGTGTGTCGTGCTTTAAGTCAAGCAAACCTCTGCTGGAACACGTGCTCACTGTCACATTAGAGCAGGCTAATGTCATCCCTGGTACCCAGGGAGCGTTAGCTAAGCTGATGGAGGTGGAGGCCTCGGTGTGTTAACGTCCTCTTCCTCGTGTGTCCCGCAGATTGATTACTTCAACAATCAGATCATCGTGGACCTCGTGGAGCAGCAGCACAAAGGGATCATCGCCATCCTAGATGACGCTTGCATGAATGTCGGCAAAGTCACAGACGAGATGTTTCTGGAAGCACTCAACAGCAAGTTGGGCAGGCACGGGCATTTTTCCAGCAGAAAGGTAACATATTTCATGAGACCTTCCTCTCATTTTGATCTATAATAAATTTTCCTCATTGTTTTTAGAGTTTAAATGACTTTAAATATCTGGTTCAGTGAATGTATATTCGGGTAATAAAGGCCATAAACATCCACCAACTGATTTATTGCTGTGGACAAATTCTGTCCTGGGCTTGTAGCGAGTAGGATAATATCAGTAAAAATCGTAACCGCCAGGAGAGGGCGCTCCAGACTATCCAATTTGGTAGGAAAAATGAACTTGATTCTTTAGAAGGCATGATGTCATTTATAACCAATAGGTGCAGAGTCGCTGTTCATGTGCTAGGATTTTGCCCCTGCATCTGATAATTCTGGCACCGAAGATGGCTTTTGTCCTTGATTTTTTTTTTTTTTACACTGTAATCCTTGTTTACAAAATGTTTGTGCTCTGCCACAGTTCTTTGGGCTGGGTAATTTTCTTGAAGACAAAGACACTCTAGTTGTAATTCTGGTTGCTACAAAGAAATTCATTCCTTATACAACTGGATCTCATTTCAGTTTTCCATGCTTCACATCTAAAACTGTCACGGACAGATCATGTTTCTGTAAGAGTTGGTGGAAACTGTGGTTATCATACTTGAGTGCCGTGCTGTGCATATTCTCTGTTTGCTGTTGTACTTGTGGTAGTAATCTGTGTCAGGATAGGGAACAACACTGTCACCCTGGGTCTTCCCTCCAGAGACAGGTGCACACAGCAGCCAGAACAGTGGACAAAGCAGGCCCCTAGCTCCCTCAGCTCCGTGAAGACAGGGACAAGCATTCCTTCTCCCTTGTTCTATATACATCTATGACACAGTTCCATTTTTCAGCATGAATAAATCCACGATCTAACCTTGCCTCTTTTGAAATTATATAATCTGAATGGGGAGAATCCACAATTAGCTAGACAAACCAAGAATCATCAAGAATTAGATCACTGGGCCTGGCGCGATGGTGCAGTGGTTAAGGTCCTCGCCTTGCACGCCCAGAATCCCATATGGGCGCCGGTTCTAATCCCGGCAGCTCCACTTCCCATCCAGCTCCCTGCCTGTGGCCTGGGAAAGCAGTCGAGGACGGCCCAAAGCTTTGGGACCCTGCACCCGCGTGGGAGACCCGGAAGAGGCTCCTGGCTTCGGATCGGCATAGCATCGGCCGTTGCGCTCACTTGGGGAGTGAATCATTGGACGGAAGATCTTCCTCTCTGTCTCTCCTCTCTGTATATCCGCCTTTCCAATAAAAAAAAAAAAAAGAATTAGATTACTGGCGGATACTCGTTTGAGACCAGGTCTTTGTGAAATGTTGGTGCTCATCTGTTGCTGAGACTTGCAGCTCAGCTCTGAACGACTTTTTAGATACTGCAGTCTGACCTTGACGTTGAGGTTCTGGTCTGCAGCTGTCCTTTCATCTGTCCCCCAGTTATACCACAAATACCTGAGAAGTGCTTCTCATTTTCCAGGGCAGTCCCACACGCTGGGCACAGAGGGGTGAGCAAAGACAGAAGCTGCCTAAGAGGGGCGGGGCGGGGCGGGGCGGGGCGGGGTAGGGCGGGGCGGGGTAGGGCGGGGCGGGGTAGGGCGGGACGGGGTAGGGCGGGGTAGGGCGGGGTAGGGCGGGGCGGGGCGGGGTAGGGCGGGGCGGGGCGGGACGGGGTAGGGCGGGGCGGGGCGGGGCGGGGTAGGGCGGGGCGGGGCGGGGCGGGGCGGGGCGGGGCGGGGCGGGGCGGGGGGGGGTGCAGTTCAAGCTGGTGTGTGCACACAAGCAGGCGGCTTGTCTTTGAGGGACAGAGTGCAAATGCCCTTACGGTTGCAGTGCAAGTTTGGGACACTCGGCAGGCATTGTGTGGCAGGCGGTCCATCAGTGTTTGTAAAGTGGTATTGAATTGGGCACAGTTAGACCAAACAAATCTTACTTAAATAAATAGACACGAGTGTCACATGAGAAATGCAGGCCACCTCATTTTTTTGTATCTCTCAAATTGGCCATTTGTATGCCTGCATTAAATCTGTCAATTAAATATTTTGACACATAAATCCATTTTGGGGGCCAGTGTTGTAGCATAGGGATAACAGCTCTGCCTACAGCCTTGGCGTCCTATAAGGGCTCCAGTGTCCCAGCTGCTCCACTTAGGATTCATCTCCCTGCTACCGGCCTGAGGAAAGCAGAAGATGGTTGAAGTGTTGGCCCCTGCTGTCCACATGGGAGGCCCAGATGAAGGTCCTGGCCCCTGGTGTTGGCCTGGGCCAGTCCTAGCTAGGAGTGAACCAGCAGATGGAAGATCTTTCTCTCTTCTGTCATTGTAACTCTGACTTTCATATAAATCTTTTAAAATAAAGGTAAACTCATTCTTTGGACTAAATGTACATAGGACTTCTAAACTGACCTGATTAGAAACGCTGAGCAGTCTTTTATGTACAGAGATGGGTCCCCCCCTTTTTTTTCTTTTTGAACATTATGAGAATCTAGATTTCTTAACTTCAACCAAATGGCTTTCTTTCTTTCTTTTCTTTCTTTTTTTTTAGATTATCCCTGAAAAAAATTGTGACATAGATTATTTTAAGTGTGTTTTTTTTTTCCTGGGACTTTTGCCTAGTGAAGGAAAGAAGTAGAATAACCAAGCTGCCAGGATATTTCAATCACAATGCACCTTTATTGTTAAATAACGCTATTATGCTATTATCATGTATGTTGAGCCGGAAGCCATCATTTGCTATTGGTTACTAATGAACTAGCTATTATTGGCATAGTAAATGAGAGGTTCTGGCTTGTAACGGTTATTTCATTTGCTTGCTGAACTGTTTCTTTATGTGCTTGTCACCATGGAGAGGCACATAAATGAGCCATTAAACCATACAATTGTTATTGTAAATATAACAAGCATTAAGTTTGCTGAGAGATTGTAACTGTTACTACATAAAAAGGAAGGAAGGATCCAAATTTTTCCATGTTCCGCTTAGCCAAGGCTTGGAAGTATCCATATCTAAGAATATTTGATACCTCTTGGGCCCTCCCCTTTGGCAATTTACAAATAAAGAGATTTCATTAAAGGTGTAATCAAGAGAGGGGAAAAGGAAAGAGGAACTAAATAAATCAATAAAGAGACCCCTCTGGGTGTTAGATGCTGGGCTCCCCATGATCTGTATAACCCTTATAACTCTTTAAGGCTGAGAGTGGCTCAATGATGATTGTGCCAAGATTCAAACCTCAGAAATCTTTCATTTCCAGTAATGATTTGCTTCTCCAGTTGATGAAATATTCCTTTGGCAGTCTGGTTAAAGATGTAGAGCTCACAGCCTGGTTGGGACTCTGTTGTCTTTAGCAGCAGAACCCAGGTGCTTTCTGTATGTCAGTGCTTTGCGGGATCCTAAATCGGTGCTGAAGGGCTTCTGGGATGCTTAGCGGCTCTTCATGGGTCAAGCCAAGAAGTGTCTGTGCTTCTGCAGTCAGGAATGCCACAGGAAGTTAGGGGGACCTCTCCAGCCATTCTTTCCTAGAACCAGATGCAGAAATTGACCTGCAGAAATTGAGCCAGAGTCCCAGCCCAGCAGACAGATGAGCCAGGTCACTGTGCACATGCGTTGCATTCCATCCCATCAGCCCTTCTTGGGACTGCCACTTACTAACTGTGTGATCCTGGGCCACTTAACATCTTTGAGCCTCAGTGTCCATATGCATAAAAGAGAGATTGTAATAGTTTTCCTTAAATGTGAAGATTGAATGAGTTGTGTGTACCTAGCAGATAGTAAGCCCCCAATACAGTACTCTCTGGGACTGGCATTGTGGCACATTGGGTAAGCCACTACTTACAACACCTGTATCCCTCACTAAAGTGCTGGTTGGAGTCCCAGCTGCTCTGTTTCTGATCCAGCTCTCTCTGAATGCACCTCGGAACACGGAGGAAGGTGGCACAAGCACTGGGCACCTGCTACCATCATGGAAAATCCAGACGGAATTGCTGGCTTCAGCCTGGCCTGACCTGGGCCATTGTGGCCATTTAGGGAATAACCAATAGGCAGATAGAAGATCTCTTGGCCTCCCTGTTCTTCTGTATCATTATACCTCTCAAATAAAATCTTTTTTTAAAAAATTAAAATGAAATTTAAAAATGATTTAAAAAAAAAACACGGTGTTCCCTAAATAGGACATTTTGGAGAAATAAAACATCAGTCAGAAATAGGCAGGGCTGTTTTAACATAGTAGCCAAGATGTAGGTGTTGACACATGATAGAGATCTGTTTCTCCCTGGAACTCCAGTTCCTTCCCCTCGTGGCTTCTATCCTCTGCACATAACTCATGGAAAGGGAGAAGTATCTCCAAAGTGGAGTCATCTATTCTCTTATTAAAATAATCTTTATTTGAAAAAGAGAAGTCAATCTTCCATTCACTGGGTCACTCCCCAAGCCCACAGTGACTCCAGCTAGAGTAGACCAAAGCCAGGAGACCAGAGCCCAGTCAGGTCTATGATGTGGGTGACAGGTACCCATCATCTGTTGCCTTCCAAGGTGCACATTAGCAGGAAGCCAAATTAAAGACAGAGCTGGGAATTGAACCCAGAAACTCTGATATAGAATGTAGGCGTCCCAAGCCATCTTAAGCTTTGTGCTAAGCCAACATCACTCATTCTTATCAGCAAAGCCTGCAGCAGCCTTACCTCACCTCCAGAGTCTGAATTTTGGTTACGTGGTTATATCCATCTGTAATCGTGGCTGGAAAATATGCTCCAGCTGGGTGGATTTCTTGTGCGTTTCTAGTCTTGACCACACAAAGGAGTTATTTAGTCATCTCAGTGCAACTCAAGCACACACTGTAATTTCATTCATGATATCATGATTTGTGACATCATTATTATATTGAATTGAAATGTATTTTTAGGAAAGTTGAAAAGGACAGTTTTTAAAACAATCTCCTTCTTGGTTTCTTAGCTCTGTGCCTCGGACAAACTCCTGGAATTTGATCGAGATTTTAGAATAAAACATTATGCAGGCGATGTTGTGTGAGTATCTTACTTTGGTACATAGCATGACATTTTGCATGCACCTCCACTCCAGAAAACATGACCAGGGACATATACATTGCTTTTCTGTTCATTTGCTTCTTCAGTCATTTTGAATGTCAGTATATTTTAATCTCTCAGCATTGCTTCACTCAATTTTGCTTTTCAGACATGCATTGAGCACTCATTCTGTGCCCATGCATGCCTCCCGGGGTAGTTGGTTCTCAGCAGACATCAGCAGATGGGCGAGTAAAGTGTGGCAGCACGTTACGAAGTGGGCTATGATGGGGCATGCCCAGGAGAAACTAGCAGTTCAGTGGAGAAAACAAGCCAGAGCGTCAAAGTGAAGAGTAGAAAGGGTCAGAGTAGAGGAGCCAGGGCATTATGAGAGCAGGAATATGAGGAAGTATTGCTGGAGGAATTGACAGCTGCCTTGAGTCCTAAAACTACAAGAAAGAGGGCAGGGCAGTGAATAAGGAAGGGGCGCCGAGAGCCAGAGCTGTAGAAGCAGCAGCAGCAGGCAGAGAGAACTGCAGGAGCTGGGATAGCTGCCTAACCAAGCAAAACCCAGTTTTCCTGTGTTATTGCTCAAATATTTTGAGAAACAAACTTATTTTAACCCAAATCCTAATAAATTTGTTGTTTATTTGAAAGACACGTGTTCAGACACAGAGGCAGCTGGAGAGCTCTCATCCACTGATCCATTCCCCAGATATCTGCATGGTCAGAGTGGAACCAGGCAGATCTAGGTCCTCAGTCCAGGTGTCCCGTGTGGAGGCGACAGGGACCCAGGTACTTGAACCATCACCTACCGCCTCCTAGGATGTGCATGAGCAACGTGAACAGGAAGCTGGAGTTGGATTGGAGCCAGAAGTCAAACCCAGACACTCCAGTATGAAATGCAGTTGTCCCAAACAGCATCTTAACCACTATAGCAAACACCCACAAAATCCCTCCCGGCTGCATTTCCCGATTACAGTACAATACAGGTAGAAATTTTATAAGAGCATGTTTCAGATTTATAGCATGGCACATTAGCTTCTGAGGACTGTTGTAACGAACTGCTTGATCTTGTGCAGCCTGAAGGCCAAAAGTTCAAGGTGTCAGGAAGACCATACTTCCTCTAGAGGAGCATTTGTCCCTTGCGTCTTCCAGCCACAGATGTCCCTGAGTGTTGACTGCCTCTCCCGTGTGTCTGTGCTAGTCTCCCTGGGTCTCTGTCTCACAGGACACAGACAACAGCACGAGGGCCCACGAATAAAACAGGATAAGCTTTTCCTCTCAAGATGCATACCGTAGTCACATCTTGTACTATAGAAGCTGGCATTTCCCAGTTGCAGGGATTTCATGTGGATGTCTTTTGGGGAGCAGGTATTTCTCAACCTACTATATTAGGTAGGTTTCACTGCCCATTGAACATCACTCTTCATGTCTAGAAAATTCTCTTCCTTATTCTTTATGTTAGGGATTCTTTTCTCATTACTCATTACAGGGAGAGAATAAACCCCCAAAAAATAGCAAAAGGTCAGTTCTCTAAGTGCCAAAAAGATGTGGGGTTTTAATAGCTGTTCATGATTTAAGTGATAATTCTAGAATCTCAATGAGGTTCAACATTACTACCCCATCTGTCAGTCTGGCCATTAGTACTGAAATGGCACAATTTTCCACTTTGTTGGGCCTTTCCTAGGTTACAAAATCCTAAAAAGAGGAGGACAATCCAATGCACTTACGTCCCCCTGGAAACCCAAACCTTACTCAAAGGCACTTTCCTGCAGCTCATAGTGCTTTAAGCACAGAGCGAGACAGGGACTTCAGGGTTGACCTAAGACCGTGCTTTTGTCTCATTGGTGAAGAAACGTGTGCAGATTAAATGAACTTCTTATCCAGGGTCACATTTCTAGTCTGTGAAAGAACTGAGACAATGAGACATCCGGACTCCCCAGTGCAGAACTCCTGCTCCGTGTCTCAGACCTCTCCCTTTAAGCACTTCTGGATTTTTACTGAGTATCTGCTGTGTGCACAGTGCTTTAGAAAGCACGATCCTTGCCCACAAAGCCTCACAGTGTCAGATGCAAGCAAACGTGTATGAGTACGTGTATGTGTGTTTAAGCCTGGAAATGCACACACAATTACCCAATAAAGATAGCCTCAAATAATTTTCAGAGTAGTAGCACTAGGTGTTGCTGCAATTCAGAGCAAGGAAATGGCATAATACTTTTGCTGTGTGTGATAAGCCCAGTAAGACCAATGCTGATTTGCATGCCAGTAATTATTTTCATAGAAAGAAGTGGGAAGTGTGCTTTAAAATTTTCAGGAAGTGGCAACAACATCCATTTGATTGACTTACGTCCTTTTTGTAGCCAAGATTGTAGGAGTATTTAGAATAGGATGTAGAGATAAACTCCCAATCTTACAATCCAAAATAAGAAGCTTTGAAATTTGAATTGTGTGAGTTGGATAATAGATTAAGACTCAGGGGACTTCAGGAACAGGGTTATGTGAAAGTATTAGGAGGAAGAGCTAGGTTGGGCCAGGCCAAGAGATACTTGTGGATGTGATGGCCTTAAAGCACTGGTGAGCAGCACAGCCCACAGGAACTCTTGCAGAATTAAGTGTGTAAGGCAAGGGACCAAGGCTAGAGATCTGGGAGTTGTTAGCACTGCTGTGATTACCAGGGAAGAAGGCACAGGCAGAGAAGAGGGCAGACATGCAAGGAACAGTGGCCTGTGGAGTTAACTGTTTGCTGCAGCTCCCCTGCTCTCATAACCAGTCATCGCAACAGTGGTTCTCCCACCCTCACTCTCCTCCTCAGCTGTGGCCTTACGGGACCCTGAAGACCTAGCTCATCTGCCTCCTCCCTCCACGCCCCCTCATCCTCTGTCAAGCATCCCCCACATGTACATGCTTCTGCCTCTCCATTTCATCAGTTTTCCCGTGTGTTCTTCTGCCTTTGTCTCCTTGGCTTATCTAATTCTCACTGTCCTTTGCAGTTCCTGGATTCTCTTATCCCACCCTGAACACTGAGTGATCCCTAGGCAGCCACTTGACCTCCCTACTGATGACACTGTGGTTAGTTCCTGTGTGTGGCTCTTTTGCTTTTATCTTAGGAATGCAGGAGGATAGACACAGATCTCTGTAAAAGTCATCTTCTTGAGGTAAGCAGCAAACCAGTAGAAACTGATGACCTTGATTGTGGTTGTCCTGTCAGTATTCACTCATTAGAAAAAATAGAAACAAAGTCCCTTCTATTGAGTGGGTGAATTTGGACTCTTCTAATGTAGGACAGGTGGTCACTATCAGCTTTTTAGATGCTTGATTGCATAATAAATGGTGGGAAGGCTTTCAGATGTCTAGCAAAGCCTAACTGTGTGTATGGTGAATAATGCATGTTTTCTGTTTGTTTCCCCAATAGCTATTCTGTCATTGGTTTTATTGACAAAAATAAAGACACTTTGTTTCAAGATTTCAAGCGTCTCATGTATAACAGGTAAGATTGCAGTTTTAATTATCTTTACATCAAGCTCTCTGACATACATTGCAGAATACACACTAGGGTATGTGTGCACATTACTTCCATGTGATGATTTTAAGTGTTTCTGGCAGATTTTCTTGTCCATTTTCACACTCAGTGAATGAAATAGTAATAGATGCTCTGGTTATACAAATCCATGCATTCAGCTGTCTGTGGCCACGGGTGCGGATCCACCGTCTCAAGCACCTATGGATCAAAAATACCTTTAGAAAAGTGTCATTGGGGCCCAGCATGTGTAGGTGTCTTCTTGTGATTCTTTCCTAAATCATACAGGATAACAACTACTCACATAGCATTTGTTATATTTGTTATTATAAGTAATCTTGAGATCGTTTCAAATATAAGGAAGGATTGTGTAGGTTTTATACAAACAGTTTGCCAGTTTATGTAGGGACTTGCGCATCTGTGGAATTTGGCATCTACATGACGTCCTGTAACCAATATCCCGAGGACATCAGGAGACAACTGAGCTCACCAGTTCCCAGGCAAGGCCAGTGGTGATGCAAGAAGTCTCAGGTGACCTGTGGCCCAATAAGCCCCTTTTCAAACTCACATGTCCACTGTCATGTTTTTGCCTCCCAGAGAACACTGATCCTGACCGAACATATGTATAGACCCTTCTTACAACCCACCAAATGTGGAAAAGCTGTGGCAAAATGAAACCAGGCAAATGATAACAAGTTTGAACCCACCATGAATATTTTGCAAACAAGGTCGAGCAAAAGAGTCCTTGGTCAACTTCTCGTGGATTAGAGAGCCATATTCACTCATTTCAGTCTCCACGGCCAGTTGGGGATTAGATTATCAAAAATGTAATGAGCACCTTCAAGCCACACTTTCATGCCTTGGAACACAGCCATGAAGACAGTGTAGACAGGTCCTGTCCTCATGGCATGGAGTGTACAGACCAGGGGCAGTGACAGTTTGTAAACAAACAAAAAAATTCAGATAGGACAAATGTTGTGCAGTAAAATAAGATCGGTAAGAGATTGAAATATGCAGATGAGGCAGGACAAGGAACCATTGTAGGCAGGATGGAGAAAAGGAGTCACCTACTAGAAAGAGCAAGATCTGAACAGAGACCTGACTGAAGTTGGGGAGGAAGATCATCCCAGGCAGAGGGAGTAGCTGGTACTGAGTTCCTAAGGCGGGTATGAGCTTGAAGGAATTGGCCACAACAGACCAGTGTGACTGAACAGTGAGGAGTGGATACTGTGTAAAACACATGCTATGAAAGTACGGAGTGCGAACAGCAATACCAGCTAGGAAGGTGGTTTATACTCCACACTGAGACTGGGGTGGTAGCAACAGGTAATGAAAAGTGGTCACATCAGCGGTACTTGGAAAGTAAACTGCAAAAAGATTTGCTGGTGGGTGAGATGTGTACGATGCGTGAAAGACCAAAGTCGAAAGTGATGCCTGAGCCAGAAGTGGGAAGAAGAGAAAATCTGATGGTAGAAATCCAAAAATCTTTCTTTATTTTATGACACATTTTAATAGGCTTTGGGGTTTCCCTTCCCCTTCCCCACCCCGAAATTCAAAATTTTGATTGGGATGTGACGTGTAATGTGCATGCTGAACATCTGGTTAAAAGTGCCAAACAGGCCACTGCCCTTGTGGATCTGGGTCTCAGGGAGAGGTGGAATGGAGACATGAATTCATATGCCTATATTGACTGTATTTAAAGACCTGTGACTCGGTGAGATTATCTAGGAATGAGTGTGGGTACAGAACGAAAGAGAAGAGGTTGAAAGCCTAATCCACTAGGTACTCCCACATTTATAATCGAGCAAGGAAGGAGGAACTAGCAAAGGACAGTGACCTGTGACAAAAGCAGGAATGACCTGAGGACCGAGGTTGGCTGCTGGATATACTAACTGTCATGATTGTTGAGACTCTGGACAACCTTGGTTTCCATGGAAAGGTGAAGGATGAGGTCTGGTTGACAAGCACTCAGGAGAATACAGGAAATGGGGATGTAGAGACATTGTGTGTAGACAGTGCATTTAACATGTTTTGCTATGAAGTGATCGATCTGTGTGGATGTTGAGCTCCCCAAGAATGCTAGACGTGCCCTCTTTGGCAAGGTAGAGGAAAGGAATGTCACAGCTGGGAATGGGGGAAAGAAGTTTGAGAAAGGACTTCCAATGCTGACTTTGTCAGATTAGTTACACCCATTTTGACGACAGAAAATTTTTTTTTTTATTAACATTGTATTATGTGAAACAGTTTTATAAGCATTGGGGAGTCCCCCCGCCCCTCCCACACCCCTCCTCCCATAGTGGATTGCTCCATCTTGTTGCATAACCACAGTTCAAGTTCCGTTGAAATTCCTACATTGTGAGCATGTACCCAGCATAAAGTCCAGCGTCCTATTGTCCAGATAAGTTCAGTGGCCTCTTGGGGAGACCTTCTCTGGTCTGAAGGTAGAGCCAACAGAGTAAAGTTCCGGTCAGTTAAAACCCCCAACAAAACATCAGCGTCGATATACAATATTATGGGGTTAATTGGTATAGTGTTGAGTGAACAATATGTTAAAAAAAAAAAAAAGTTCAATTCTTCCACACCTCTGGGTTTAGACAGTATCAGTGACAGGTTCAGAAAAGTAACATTCAACCCAGCATAAGTTACAGGTTAAATCCAGGCAAACATTAGACGTCTGACATAGTGTTGAGTACACTATGTCAGATGACAGAAAATTTTAAAAGCTCAAATTGGGAAAACTACCCTGTTTGACCAGAGGCAGTTTTCTGATGTGCTGCAGGGCTGTTGTGCCTGGAGGCTGTGGGAGGTGGTACTCAGTACCTCCATAAACTTTTTTCCTTCCCTCACTTTAAAAAAAAAAAGTTGTTTCGTGTTTTATTATTTGTACAATTTATAGGCTCTGGATTTTTCTTCTCCCTTCCCCAGTTCCCTCCCCCTCACTGATTTCTTCTATATTATTATAATAGTATAATCCTTTATCAGCAGTCTCAAGTCCATCAATCTACTGCTTAAATGTATTCTGACATTGTAAGTGTGGACAATGGCAGAGAGTCCATCTTTGATTGTACCCCCATAAATCTATCACGGCCCAGAGGTTACACTCACTGAGGACAGAAGCTGCCAGTGGTGGGTTCTCATGTGGTGGGCACGTGGATTTGTTTTCAGGGGAGAATGTGATATCCACATAGAGTACAATACATGTGTTGATGTAACAAGGCATTCCTCCCCATTGTAAAGCCTGCTTGTGAAGTCAAGATGACAGTGAGAATTCTTGTTTATTAATTGTCAGTGAAAACTATTCCCCAACGAGTTACCTGGTAAGTGAGCAGAGAACACAGACCCTCGGATAAATCCTATCGTTAAAGGTATGCTAGAGTGACTACATTTCATGACAGAGATGGTCTTGCCAAAAGGGCAAGACCCTCAGAAAGTTCATAGAAAATGGAATTGAGAGACCGGTTTATTTGGGGTATAGAAACATTTTTAAATCCATACAAGATTTGTTCTTAATATTCATTTTCCATGAATTTTGCAAAGTCCCCTTCCCATGAATTTTGCAAAGCATCTCTGTACTTTGAAAACTGTTGCAGTGAGATGGGAAGTCTTGAAATCTTTCATGGTAAAACCATGCTTCTGGATTGTCCCTGCATGGGTTCTCTTTACTTATGGCGGCTTTCTGATGCCTCCAGGGCTAACCAGACTCTTCTTTCTTTGAGTGCGTCAGTATGATTCTTGGAGGTTTGCTTTTGTGGAGTACAGACGTGTGTATGTGTGTGTATGTGCACGTGTGAGTGTAAAGAGAGCAGGAAAGGGGCCAGATGTGGTGGCCTAGCGGCTAAAGTCCTTACCTTGCACGCACCGGGATCCCATGTGTCCACTGATTCTAATCCAGGCAGCCCCGCTTCTCATCCAGCTCCCTGCTTGTTACCTGAGAAAACAGTCGAGGGTTGAGACCCTGCACCCGCATGTGAGACCCAGAAGAAGCTCCTGGCTCCTGGCTTCAGAGTGGCTCAGCTCTGGCCATTGTGGCTGCTTGGGGAATGAGCCATCCGACTGAAGATCTTCTTCTCTGTCCATCTTCCCCTCTGTGTATCTGACTTTCTAATAAAAATAATATAAATCTTAAAAATAAGAAAAGCAGGAAAGGAGCAAGCAGGTGGCATGTCAGGTGCTGCTGTTTACTACTGTCTCATAAGCTAGAGAAGATTGCTTGCTCTTTCTTTTAAAAAAAAAGATTTATTTTAATTTTATTGAAAAGGCAGATTTACAGAGAGGAGAAACAGAAAGATCTTCTGTCTTCTGGTTCACTCACCGAGTGGCCACAGTGACTAGAGGTGAGCTGGTCTGAAGCCAGGAGCCAGGAGCTTGTTTTGGGTCTCCCACATGGGTGCATGGTCCCAAGACTTTGGGTCATCCCCTACTGCTTTCCCAGCCCACAAGCAGGGAGCTGGATGGGAAGTAGGGCCACCAGGATATGAACTGGCACCCATATGAGATCTTGGTGGATGCAAGGCAAGGTTTTATCCACTAGACAATCACGCCAGGTCCTCTGCTTGTCCGTAAACAAGCTGTTGTCTGGATACGTTTTTCCCTTCAGAAAAGGGTTCTGGTGTTATGACAAAAGCAGTTAAGCTAACACCTGCGACACTAGCATCCCATTTGGGCACTGGTCCAAGACTTGACTACTGCACTTCTGATCTAACATCCTGCTAATGTGCCTAGAAAAGCAACAGAAGATGCCCCAGTGTTTGGAAGCAGCTCCTGGCTCCTGATTTTGATCTAGCCAAGCCTGGCCATTATAGCTATTTGGGGAGTAAACCAATGAATGGTAGATCTTGCCCTCTCTCTTTATTTTTCAAATAAATAAAAATATTTTTTTTAAGGAAAGGGTTCTAGGTTTTAAATGTTTGAAAATTATTTTGTTAATATGACATTTAGGACCTGCTATCCTAAAAGTTCTTTAACTTTTAAGGATTCTCTGTCTGTTGGTATTCAAACAATTCTATTCTTTAAGATCAGGTTATTTTATATATATATTTATTTTTATTAGAAAGGCAGGTCCATAAAGAGAGAGACACAGAAAGATCCTCCATCTGCAGGCTCACTCTCCAAGCAGCCACAGCAACCAGAGTTGAGCGAATCCAAAGCATGAGCCTTACCGGGTCTCCCATGCAAACACAGCATCCCAAGACCTCGGGCCATCCTCCACTGCTCTCCCAGGGTACAAGCAGGGAGCTGGATGGGAAGTGCATCAGCCATGACACAAACTGGTGCCATATGGGATCCTGGCATGTGCAAGGCAAAGATATAGCCACCAAGCCATCGCGCCAGCCACTAAGATCAGGTTCTTAGAACATTTTACGGAAAATGCATATCATAAAAAGTTATGCATGGATTTTTTAATATGCACCAGAATAAATTCATTGTTCCATTCTTTCTGTGAACTTTTTGATCTATACTCATATATGTCCTTGTTTGCTCTCCTCCCTGCATTTGCAACATAGCACTGGAATATCCTGTGTGGAGCAGTAGCCAATAGTAGCAAGGTGGAAAAAGCATTAGGGGTAGAAATGGCATAAATCCAAAGCCAGTGATCTTCAATTCTTTCCCATGTGTTAAACCTTCCAGAGTACACAGCATTCTGTCTTGTGGTAGTTCTGTTCAGTAGGTGTTAAAAAGGCAAGTCAGCACCATGTGTACTGTAAGTTGAGAACCATTGTCTTAAATTCTCTCTCTCTCTCTCTGCTAAAGACAAAATGGAAAAGTTAAGGGAAAACAATATACATTTATGTGGCCATTTTATTGATGTAACTGTATGATTGGAAAATTATAGACTAGGAATATAAAGTGATAAAACTGGGTCCATGAGCCATGGATCATTGCATTATTTTATGGCCCTTCTCCTGGTAGCTGACACTGCCTGCTGTCGATGGCCAGGGCTGGGCTGTTGCTCTGGCTGCGTTCCCAGACCCAGTCAGGCCTCATGTCACCATTTATCTTCTTTCCTCTGTTGTCATCCATTTTTTCATATTGCAGCTATTATTTTGAGTTCCTGTGTACAGCAGTTTATTAGGTGCTTTGGGAAACTAAAACAGCTTTCTCCCTTTTAATGCGAAGGTTAAAAAAAAAAACAAAAAAGATGGGCAAAATGGCAGTTGGGCAGTACTGAGCACATTAGCAATGCATTTGTATGTGAGTTCATTCCTCTCTTCAAGCCCTTTCTTTCCCATCCATTTTTCAAATAAAAATATTTGTGGTAGAAGAAATGTTTCCAGGAAGCAAGTAACATTTCAAGCTACGATTAGTTAAAAATAAAAGCACCCAAAATGAAACCAAGAAAATCACTGTTGAGATAACTGCCTATGTTTTTTAAAAAATCTCCATAAAGCAAATAATGAATATACGGTCTTTAGCGTGAGACTTGGCCTGACATACATTTTTAGGATTGGAGTGCAAGAATCTTGGTGTTGCATCAATAAAATATTTCAGCTGCCAGTGTGCTCATACAGTTGTACGAGTCCTCACACATCCAACAGCAGTAAAGGGATTTGCTGGAAGTCAGTGTTCAAATGGTTACTTTAAATCCTAGTCTGTATCTTTCCAAAGATCTGACTTTTTACAGTATGATGTATACTACATGAATATTTATTTTAATTAGATGATTTTAAATTTCTGTGCTTCCTGCCATGATGTTGAATGGCATTTTTCCAACTAATGATTAGTCCTCATCTTTTAACCATCACGAAACCAGTCCTATGTTCGCAAATATTAAAAAGAGCCGTACTAACCGTGACCATCCCACTTAATAGTATATAGTATTACTTTACAGAAGCTTAATGAATTTTTTTTTAGGAGCTGGCATTGTGGCACAAGCTAAGCTGCCACTTGGGATGCCCACACCAAAACACCTGGAATCAAGTCATGCTTCTACTTCCCATCCATTTTCCTGCTAATGCACTTGGGAGGCAGGAGGCGCTAGCTGAGATGCTGGAGTCCCCACCACTCACATGGGGAGTGAGTTCCAGGCTCCTAAACTTCAGCCTGGCCTGTCCCTAAGGCATGAACTGCAAACAGAGAGCTGTTAGCTCTCTTTCAAATAAATACTTCAGAATTTTTTAGCATGCTGGAGTTCGGAAAATTCTTGATTGGCAATGCAATAGAGGTGATGACACTTTGAGCATGATTCTAATGGATGGAATCGTTTTACCAAGAAAGAAACAGAAAGGCCTCTTGTGAGTTCAGTCTGTGGTCTGGTTGTAAACCCTCAGGATACAGTGTGACAGAAGGGTCCAGTGACGTTTCTCCAGTTTATTTGAATACAGCATTTGAATTGCTCTTCCCGTACTTCTCAGTTCAAATCCAGTGCTGAAGAATATGTGGCCTGAAGGCAAGCTGAGCATCACAGAAGTGACCAAGCGACCTCTGACTGCTGCCACCTTGTTCAAGAACTCTATGATCGCTCTGGTGGACAACCTTGCTTCAAAGGTAACTTTTCTTATCTAAACATCCATTTGAACTTGTAGATTTCCTCTTGACATCCCTCCCCCCCCTTTTATTTTTACATAGATTGCATATGATTTACTTCTTTTGGGTAATCTAGGCGAACTGAAGAGTACAATATAAAGTGGATGTAACAATAGAATTCTTGCTCCTGCTTTTCTCTTTTTTCTTCCTCCTTTAAAACGGTCTGAGCAAAACAGTTGTTTATGTCTCAACCAAAACCTTTTCTTAAATGTGAGCTGCTTATTCTAGTAACATGGTCAAGGGGAAAATCTTAATGAGATTTTAAAAACATAAAAAGGTTTAAAATGTTTGGCAGAATGACACATTGGACCTGCCCTGATGACAGGGCATGGAGAAATACTTAAATTGGAATAATGAATCATGTTTATAATGTGTTTGAAGACAACATGACCAGAAGAGATTCCTAGGCAAGAGCTTGTTACATAAGTATTGCTTTTTCATTGTTTAAAATAGTGGAAATATAAAGATATATTGTTGATAATTACTTCTGGTTTTTATTGTTCTTTTGAGATCTAATGCTGGTGAACTGTAGTCTGATACATTTTTTTTCTTTTAAGAACAGATTTCTACTCTTAAGTGCTACTGTTGACAAGTTTGATAAATTAGGCAGCATCCTGGGACTCATTATTTTTAGATGCCTCATTTTTATCTTTCTCTTCTGGTGCTTTTCTGATATATTTTCTTCTGTATTACCTTTTTTTAATCAACTTCCTCTCTAATTGAAATCTATACTGCTTCTGGTTGCTTTACTGAGGATAAATTAGGCAAAGGCCACAAGAAAGCGTTTGCTGAGTAGCTTTCTATTTCTGTTCAAGACACTTTGGCCTCAGGTGACAGCACAGAAGCTCTGTGTGTTGGCTTTGTCAGCTCATGCCTGCAGAAAGGCAGTGGTAAGGACACTGGCACCACACGCTGGCACGCCATGAGGGTGCGTTTCTTTTTTAACTCGGCTGCCCTGCAAATCAGCATTAGCCTGTTTCATCCAGCAAGAAGCAGAGTGAGGTTAGGAGGCAGGCATGTGTGACACAGGAAATGGAATGAATGCTGAATTTTTGGAACATTTACTTAAGTAGAAAAAAAAAATCTTTGTTTTCTTAAACTGGTAGTTAAATGTGACTTTAAAAAGGCTAGAACCTCCTGTAACTTTTGTATCAGTAATAGTATCTGAGAAAAAAAGAGACCTCCAAATCAGTGACTTAAGAAAGAGAGGTGTCACTTCGGTCGCATCAACCAAGTATCAGAAAAAGCTTGGCAGGGCTGGTGCTGGGGCGGTTAGGGACCCGGGTCCTTCTGTGTTTCTGCTGTGTCATCCCAGGGCTTAGCATCCCTACCTCTAGACTGTAATGACTGCTGAGCTTCTCCTGACTTAAAGAGACTTCCCGAGAAGCTCATCAGCGTTGCAGCTGCAGCCCATTTGCTCTATGTGGTTGCCAAGGAAGTGGGAACTACGTTTTATTCTGATCAGCAGTGAACCAGTTAGAAATAAGAATAATGTTTCAAAGTAGGAAAAATATACTGTATGTAGGGTGGGCAACTAACCTGGTTGTATCTACTGTAGTTTCTCAATCTGTGAGCACATGGAGATGAGGAAAGGAGGGTGGAAGCAGAGACAAGCAAAAGAATCGAGACAACGTACGCATCTGTAGAAGGGCATGGAGCGGGGCTGGAAGCAGACAAACAGTGAAAAGAAGTTATATTCAGAAAATTCAAAATAATGAGTAGAAACACATCTAAAGAATTGGTATGTAGTATAAATAGTTTAAACAGACTAGCTCCATGCCACCTGTAGGAGACACAGCTAAGGAACACTGCAAGAAAACTTAAAATAAATAGATGGATAAAAACATATCAGAGCTGGCCCCATTACAGCAGCTGAAAGCATTAGTTACATGAGAGAGAACAGAATTTAAGAAAAAGAAACATCAGTATTTCTTTAATATTATTTAAAAATCCAAGAAGTAAAACCATTTTGAATTAAATAGTTGAAATATCCAAACACTATGCACAAAAAGAAGAACCTGAAAAAAATTAAAGGAATGATTGATTGACAAGTCTGCAGTTTAAATCTGGGAGATTTAAACCAGCTCTCCCAGAAACTGTTGCATCAAGCAGACCAAAAAAAAAAAAAAAAAAAAAAGAAAGAAAGAAAAAAAAAAAGGACTTTGGTAAGAATGCAAAAGCTTTGAAAACCAAATTTAAACTTTATGTAACAGATCAAGAGAACCTTATACCAAGGGATTAGGTTATATATAATCCTTTCAAGTATACATGGAACATTTCAAGAACTGTGACCGCATGCAAGATCACAAAGCCTATTTGAACCATTTTTGAAAGGAGATATATACAGATACATTTCCCATCCTCAGTGCAAGTTGGAAAAAAAAAAAAAAAAAGACATCAGCTAATACAGTGCCTGGGAAACAGCAGTGATATCTCAGTTAACTGAGTTGTGTGAGCGACTGGGTTGAATTCCACCTCCCAGCTCCAGCCCAGGCTCAGCCCCAGCCACTGCAGACATTGGGAGTTACCAGCAGGTATGAGAGCAAGTGTTCCTCTCCTGTCCTTCCCCTGTCCCATCTCCTCTCTGCCTGCCAAATAATCCATTTTTAAAAGATAAGTTGTTAAATAAATGTACTTGGAAACTTCAAAAAAAAAATACTCTCCTAAGTAATTCATAGGTTGAAGAGGGAGTCATATGAAAATTACAAAATATTTTGGAAATGCTTAACAAAGAATTTGTCAGAACTTGTAGGATCCTGTTATAGGGACCCGTTTGTTACTTCTTTATAAAATAAGAAGACAGACCAATAGTAAGTGGGTTAAGTTCAACTCTGAAATCCAGAAATGGGAACACTGAAGAAAAGCTAAAGGAAGAAGTAAGAAACCCATTTTTAAATAGTGAAAGTTTAAAAGAATAGACTAGAAAATGTGCAATCCAAACAAGGTGGGGAGAAAGTGTTACTGTTATTGTAGGTGAGGGAAATAAATTCTCTGTGCAAGGAAGAATTCAGGCTTGAGACAAGGAGCAGCATTAAGCAGAGCAGCAGGATTTGGTGGGATAGGGCAACTGTCAGAATGGTTGGGGACCTCTCCAAACTGAGAGGGACTTGGACGTCCAGACTGGGGCAAGCAGGGAGACATAGTTTCATGGAGAGAATGCACCTGACAGACCAGGTGGCACTTTGGGAAGACCGGAAAGTGCAGCCTGTACTGAGATGGGAGCTTATGAAGGAACAGGATCCAGTTCTAAACAGTCTCTCTCCTTCCCCTCCTCCCTCCTGTTCTGATTCCTGCTTCTTGCTCAAGGGCTCCCTGGAAGGCAGCAAGTGATTACCCAAGGAGTTTGGTCCCTGTCGTCCACATGGAAGACCCCAGTTGAGCTCTGAGTCATTGGCTGTGGCCTGGCTCATCCCTTGCTGCAGCAGGGCATTTGGCAATCGAACCAACATATGGGAGATTTCTCTCTCTCGCTCCCTCCTTTCGTCTCTGTCCCTTCATCCTTGCCTCTCCTTTTCTTCTCTCTAGCTTTTTCTCCCTCCCTCCTTCCTCTTTCCTTCCTCCTCTTTTTTCCTACTTTAAAAATAAATTAAAAATATAAAATTAAAAGCTCAAAGGATAGGTTTAACATCAGCTTAGACCAAACTTAAGAGAAAATAGTAAAATGAAAATAAGAATTAAAAAAATAATTCAGAATTCCACCTAGATGAACCAGGAAATGAATCACGTAAGAACAACATTATAGAAAAAATGTAAAGTGCCAGAATAAAAAATCAGAAGAATATGGAAACACTAGGGTAAATTAGGGTAGGAAAAATAAATCCAAATATGATATATGTGTCTGTATTCAACATAAATTTATTTAAAAATTAACAAAAAGCATCCCAATATTCACAGTATTGGTAATGTCTGAACATGAGGAAATGGAAGAGCTGGAAATTTGAGCCTCTATGAATCTATTTCTGATGGGCTAGAGTCACCTCGGTCTGATTTCAGAAGCTGCAGTCATTAGCTCCGTGAGCTCAGTGTGGTACTGTCATCCCTGGGAGGACCAGGTCTTCAGGAGTCCAGAGCAAGCACAGCCTCTCATCAAAGGCCCTCATTTCCACCTTCCATCCTCTGCCCCCGCCCCACAAACATCATGAGGATCAGAAGTGGGGCTGGGCCGTGTGGCCACCCCTTCCAGATCAACAGTCATTTCTATGTCAGAGCAGCCCTGGAGCTGGGTTCACCCAGAATTTGGTCAAAAGAAGGTGGCCAGTATTTGTTCACTGTCTTACTCTTGCAATGTTGCTGTTCCCTTCTTTTATCCAGCACCCTTGTCTTAGTGAATTCATTAGAAAAGTTACCTTATCTGGTTTCCATTGCCCAGGTGGAAGTTCCTGATTCTGTACCAGTCAGACTCCACACAGTATTCCTAGTGCATATTTCCTCTGAATTAAGAGAACTGGTTAGTTTTCTGTACCTCTTGGTACCTCTCAAAGTGCTGAAGCACAGGGTCGATCAGTTACTAAGTGAACTTGAACTTTCTTTGGTTGTAGCTAGCAATATCCAAAGCAGATTAAATAGAAGTATATTAAAATGCAACATCTTCTAGCTTGTACAGGTTGCTGTGCCTTCACAAATGATTTTCACCTAAACCATACAGAGGGGCAGATTAAGAAGTTCTGGAGATTTCAGATCTCTACTGACTTTCACAATTTAACCTTTATAAGGCACTCTGAATTTTTCAAATTTAAGATTTCTTAGGCTTAGTCTGGATATTTATAAATGAGAAAGGAGGCGGCATTTATAAGTTGAGACAGAATGCTGATTAAGTATTAAACATTCCCATCAGACTCCTTACCCAAAGACATCTATATTACTAAGCAGGATGGAAGGGTTCTCCTCCATTCCTGGGTTAGGCATTGGTGGCTCATCTAACATTGCTACTTCCTCTGCGCAGGCTCACCAAGTTGGTAAAATTCCATTCCGCCAGTTTCTGCTCTGTAAAGTTACTTATACAACACAAATGATGCCTTAGACTAAATTGCTTTGTCCCCATGATTTGATTACTTGTTCACGTCAAAATATTTTTAGATCCCATTATGATTTCCTCTCTGACCTAGGGATCATTTACAAGTTCATTTCCTAAGTTTCAGACACACAGATTTTTCCTCTTGATTTCAAGCTTAGTCTTGTTTTACCAGAAGACCTAACTGTGATTTCAGCCCTTAAAAATTTGTTAAATTTGCTTAATGTGGGTCTTTTGCATGCATTTCACAATACTTTACACCACATATACAGCATATACACAATACTTTATACAGCATATTTGCAGGTCAGGTCAAATTTGCTAGTCCTATTCAAAATTTTCTGTATTTGTCAATCAAATCTACTTTGATTCTAAATTCCTATGCATGTACCTTTAATTTTTGCTTCAAACATTTAGAAAATTGAGGTTTGTTTAAGCTCGAGCTGTTATTTGCATCTTCCTGCTGTTTGTCATTGTGAAACATTTCTTTCCATGTTGTTTTTTTCCTTAAAATCTGCTTTGCACGAGGATGCAGCTAAACCAGCTTTTCCTTTTTGGCCTAGTTTGTGTAGTTTGTTTTTCCATTTTCCTATATCTCTGTTTCAAGTATGTGTCTCTTGGATATTCCCGATTTATATACTATTTTGATCATGTGTTTTAATTGCATTTTTCACACATGTATTTATTGTATACAGTTTGATTTCGTACAGTATACATGTTTATATTTCATTGTTAGGTGTAGCCAGTGTCTATTTAGGCTTAGTTATTTTTTATTTTTTCCCCTTGCTTTATCACTGACCTGCCATCTGGTACTATTTTCTTATGCCTAAATTTATTTGAAGCCTGACACATCTTATTTGCCCAGAAACATTTCATATGTTGCTTCTTCTTTTTTTTTTTTTAATTCTAGAAGAATACTTTTTTGGAGGGGGGTGAATTCAAAATCAGCAGTATCATTCATCTCACTTTGTCTACTGGAGTTCATCATTTGTTTTGAGAAGTCAGTTGTCATCTATTACTGCTCCTTGCAACTCCTGCTGCAAGGAGCAGTAATATTTTTTTCTCTGCTGACAACTTGGCTTTCACAAATTTTACCTGGATATGCTTTGATGTGATTCAAGTTTGTAAAACTTCTTCAGTCAGTAGTTTGATTTCCTTTGAGAGAGTGAGAGAAAGAGAGAGAGGGGGCGCAAATGAGTTTTCATCCTCTGGTTCACTTACCAAATGTCCTTATGGTCAAAGCCGGAACCTGGGAGCTCAAGCCAGGTCTCCCATATGGGTGAAAGAAACCCAGTCGTTGGAGTTACCTCTCCTGCCGCAGTCTGCATTGGCAGGAAGGCAGAGCCTGGACCTGGAGGGGACTAATGAACGTAAGCACTCCAGCACAGCCTGCAGGTGCCCCAACCTGCAACCTAACCACCTGGCCAAATGCTGCACCTTAATGGTGAGATTTTGTTTTTCTTTGCAGGAAACTCTTGGCTGTTAGCTCTTCGAATATTTCCCTCCTGTCTCTTCTCCTTCAGGGCTCCAGTTCAGTGGCCCATCCCACTGTGTCCTGCAGACCTCCTGCTGTCCCCACTTGGTTTTCCATCTTTTTGTCTCTCCTTGCTTTATCCCAGGATATTTATTCTTATTCACCTTCTGGTTTACTCTTTGCTTTCAGCTATTTCTGATCCACTGAATTCTTCATTTTCATTATTATATTTTTCAGTGTTAGATTTTTTCCATTTGGTTTGACTTTCTAGAATATATATTATCTCTGGTTGTATACAGTTCTCAGTGTTGTCTTTTGTCATGTAGGTGCATGGTAAACGTGATTAGTTGAATCTGACTTGTAACCCCTCACCGTCTACACTCATGCAAATTTGTTTATTTTGTGTGGAGTTTTTTTTTCTGTTTGTTTTTTATGTTACCTTGATTCTTCTTTATGTGTATGTATTTTTAATTTTGTTCCAAATATGATATCTACAAAATTGTTTTCAAGAACAATTGGAGGCCCAAATCTGTGTCATATTTCTATAGGGGAAATGTGCTTTTGCTGCTTTGAGGCAGCTAGAAGTACAAGTGTTCCAAGTTGGCTGTTCCAGTTCCACGTACTGTGGTTTAACTCTCTCTGGTCCATGTGACAGGATTCTGACTCAAAGATTGGCATGGCCATGACCAGCTTCCTTGCAGAGCCTGGTCTCTAATCTCTGTCTCTCGAACCCCAGCAAGCTGTCAGAACCTCTTCTGTACTCCAACCATCCCCTCTGGGAAGAGGCGCCCCAAACCAGAGCACTCCCCACAGCATTCTCTCCTAAAGGCCAATCCGGTGACCGTCCACTGCCCTGTGAGCTTTCACATGTCTCCAGGCTAATGTTTTGTGCATTTTGTGTGTACTTATCCAAGTTACTGCCAGCATGGATGTTGACCTGGTCGCTCATTACTCCAAGTGGAAACCCTTGTATCCTCATTTCATATATTAGCTAAGTAGGTCTAGAAAAGTTTTATCATAGCTAGTCAGCAGCAGAGAGATCTGACATTGAAGGATCTCAATTGTGTGCAGGGCTTTTTCTGTTCAAATGGGTCTGGGAGCGTTTCAGTGATTTACTCCCCTCGGTGTGACTCTTCTTCATTGATTCACCAAGCAGGGAAGACCGAGTATTCCAGGAAACTGGCAGAAAGTCCTCAGGTCAACAGTGCTGTCTCTTCCTCACTTCACCATCCCATTAAGTTTGTTTTAACTTTGTTATAAGCTCTTTTCAATGATTAGCTACTGCTGCCCTCTATGTAAATGTAACATTCAAAAACCAGTAGAGATCTAGTGAACATGTGATCACCCAACATTGTATTTTAAAGTATTTATACTGGAACACTAACTTTCTGAATAAATATTCCACAGTTTGATATATAAGTCTAGGGTTGATGTTCTGAAATACTTACAGGGAAAAGGGAGCAATTATCGATCTACTCTGGGGGTTTAGACCTGCCAGCAGGCCCGAGGTCACCAAGGGTGAGGCAGACGGTGGCAAGAACCACCAGAGACAAGCTGGTGAGGAATGTCCACTTTATTATGCACAGGTTACAGGTTTTAAAGGGTAAAGAAGGGGAGGGCAGGAGGGAGCCTTCTGGCAGACCCCACGCCCACCAAAGATGCTCTGGTTGGCTGTATGACAAATCTAATCCCCTAGATCTTCCAGTGATGTTGAGGTCATGTTCAGGTATACTCCCCTTGACCTCGTAGCCATGTTGAAGGCCACACTCCATATGTAGGCCTGATGGCTATACTTCAGGCCATGAGGAAGGTTAAACTTAAGCCACGCCCTCCAGGCAGCAGGGGCAGGGGCCTGGGATGATCGCCCACAATCTACAAAGTGTTGTACCTACGGCCAGCCATGAGCAGCCTCATTAGCATGACCAGGACACTTTTTATTGCTAAAGGAATTCCAGAGGCTTTGAAGGTCTATGCCACAAGCTGGGGATTTATATATCCACCTGATAAATAGACAACTGGAGCTTCTTTTTTAAAAAGTGTTGAAAAGTGCCGTTCTGTTCAAAATGCAAGTAAGCTCACATTCTTCAAGCGTCTCTTTAATTATTTACCACCCGTGTTTCACCTCCATCCGTCAGTGGAGCTCAAAACTGCCTAATTTAGCAACCAAGAGCTCTATATCTTGATTAAAATGCCTCTGTGTATCTGATAGATTACAAACTCAGAGAAGAAAAAGGAACTCTTTACACTTAGAAGAAGGATACCTTTGGCCTGATGGATTCATCCAGTAACTTACTCATTATCTTCAGTGTATCAGGATCTGTGCCGAGCACAGCTTTATATTTAAAAGAAGTTATGATCTGACACATGGTACAAAGCTTAATTGGCACAGAAGGGCCCTTTCGTAGAATCACTGATGCCTACAGGTGATTTTGTAACTTCTCTCCTCACCCATGAAGTTTAATACCTCTTTAAAAAGCCCAGAATGAGAGGTGGGCATTTGACACCCTGCTTCAGCCACTGACTCTAATCCAAATCCTGGGAAGCAAGCAGGAGAAGGCTTAAGTAGTTCCCTGCAATCCTGTGGGAAACCTGGACTGAGCTCCCAGCTCTCAGCTTCAGCCTGGCTCAGACTTGGCCATTGTGGGCATCAAAGGTGTGAACCAAATAAAGTCATTTTTATAACTTGATTTTACTTATATGTAATACATCAAATAATTTAAATAGAAATCAGTTTCTTTAGAAAGACTAAAAATTCCTTGAAATTAAGCAATTATTTTTAAAACCCCGGTGACTATAATCTGAATAATCGCAACATAACATCCCTGGCCTGCTATGCAGCAGAGCCGCCGACCTCAGGATTTTGCTCTCTTCTTCACATTGGATCGCTACTGCAGAGGCTGTCTTTTTCTTGCAACGTCCCTCCTTCCCTGACATCAACAGTGTGTTTTCATCTGTACACACCACAAGGATTTCCAAATTTTCATGGCTCTAATTTTCACCTCCCTTGGCTTATCTCTTTTCTGTTACCCCTGATGAATCCTAAAACATAATGAAAGGAGAATTTTTGTTGAAGACTTGAGAACTGCCATCATGGAATCATGTGCCTGAGGAGTCAGAGGCCCTGAGCAGAATTTGACACACCAGTTAGTACCTTTGAGCCCCTGGTCTGGAGACCTCACTCCATTAAGCTCACAGTTTGCTGCCATTTTTCTAGGAGCCCTACTACGTGCGCTGCATCAAACCCAATGACAAGAAGTCCCCGCAGATATTTGATGATGAGCGCTGCCGGCACCAGGTGGAGTACCTGGGGCTCCTGGAGAACGTGCGCGTGCGCCGGGCGGGCTTTGCCTTCCGCCAGACCTACGAGAAGTTCCTTCACAGGTGAGAACTGGCCCCCAGGAAAACCCAGGGGCACACGAATGGTGTCAGAGTCCCTTTGCACAGACCAGTGCGCCTGCACATAGGCCCCAGTCTGCAACTACTGTGGAAGGAACTCAAGCATTGAGGAAGGGCAGGCGTCTGGCACCATTTAGATGATGGTTAAGACACCTGAGTCCCTATAGTCGAGACCCATTCCTGGCACTAAATTCTCTGCCAACCACTGGAGGTGACAGGCAATTAGTGGCTCTTGTACTTGGGCCCCTGCTACCCATGTAGAAGACCTGAATTAAGTTCCCAGCTCCCAGCCTTGGCCCAGTGTTGTGAGATTTTTTTGAAAGTTAACCAACAGATGGAAAATTTCTCTTCCTTTTTCTTCTCCCTCTCTTTTTCTGTGTATATCTCTGCCAACTGCATAAATAAACTAAAGAAATGATACATAGGAATACTTTTCTAGAATCAGCAAGAGTCCCTGAATTCATAATTCATGGACCCTGGGAAAAGTCAGTGTCATAGTATCGGAGGAAAAACACAAATTTGGAGACAAGTCTGAATTGAAATCCAAGCTATTCCTTTTCTTTGTTAAGTAATCTTGGACCAGAAATTGAGTTTATTTGACCTTGTTTTTGCATTTGTAAAATATGTTTAGTAACACTTCATAAGAATGTTTTTGAGATAGATAAATTAACTTAATTCAAAAGACTTGGTTCCTGGTGCGTAATACTCAATCCTTACTGGCATTGGTAATTATCATAATAGTCAAATATTAAGAACCTAAAGCTGAAGGCCTTTAAATTGGTCTGCCTGATTTGTCTAACTTTGCCATTTTTAGTTGGTTACTTTGGGTTATCTCTATGCCTTGGTTTACACCTGTGTAAAATAAGGATAATAGTGATTACTGTGAAGAATTGCTAACTGATGAAATGAGATAATATATGTGACACAATTAGAATTATATGCCCGGCCTGTAGTAATAGCTCAATGAAAAACAATAGTTACTGCATTGCTAATTTGTTGATGTGAGTTAACAACTTGGAATTAGAAGAATGTTTTAGGTTTCATTTGTTTATTTTAAAATACTTGCTGTACATTTCTTATGTTCTAGACTTTAGGCTCCACAAGAAGAAATAAATACATAAAACATAAATTAAAATATTTGTTCAGCTCATATCAGGAAAGATGCCGGGGGCGGGGGTAGCAGTGATGCGGACCAGCCACACAGAAGTCAGAACTGAAAGAAGCTGGAGGGAAGGATGCTGCTGGGGAAGGCCACTCTCCGGTAGTGAGAGTAGCATGTTAGTGCCCTGTGCTTGGAGGATGCTGAGTGACAGGTATGGTGTGAAGTGAGGTCACATATGGCCAGGGCCTGTATCTTACAGAATTGACAGACACACTGAAGCATTTAGGATTTGGCAAGGTGTGATAGAAAACCATGGGTGGGTTATGAAGAATACAGTCTTGTGGCTATTTTAAGGGATCATAGCTGGCTGCCATGCAGATGGAAAGCTAAGAGACATTCCAGATGTTACTGCACAAATCTAGGGAGGTGACCTGACGAGAGTGCTGCCTTCTGCAGATAGAAGAGGGGCAAGCAGTTTTTGGGGTTAATATGACTGTGCGTGGGTTGGCTATGAAGAGGCAGGAGTAAGGAGGAACATAAGATGGCATGTTGATTTTGCCAAGAGCCTCTGCATAAGTGGGAACCATTGGCTGAGATAAACCTGGGTCAAGGAATTTTGAAAAGGAAGACATAGAATAGAAATTGAGTTTGTTCTCATGCCTGTGTAATGCAAGGATTTGAGTAGAAGAAAAATAATTGACTGGATACATATATCTGGAATTGTGGGAAGTTTGAGCTGTAGGTAAGAGTTTAGAATCATCAGGATGTGGATTGCACGTGAAGTCTTGAGACTTGACTAAGACAAGAATGGAGCCCATGGGCCAGTCACGTCACCATAGCCTAGTGGTTAAATCCTTGCTTTGCATCTACCAGGATCACGTATGGGTGCTGGTGAGTATCCCAGCTGCTCCACTTCCCAGTCCAGTTCCCTGCTTGTGGCCTGGGAAAGCAGTAAAGGATGGCCCTAAGTCTTGGACCATTGTACCAGTGCCTGGCTCCTGGTGTCAAATCAGCTCAGCACCAGCTGTTGTGGCCATTTGGGGAATAAATCAGTGGACAGTTCTTACTGTTTCTCCTTTTCTTTTTAAATTTGCCTTTCAAAAAAAAAAGGGTTGTGGTCCATAATGATATTTAAATTTATGATCCATAACAGTATGTTAGATCAGACACAAAGGAGCCAGCAAAAAGAAGATGAGGAGGAACAATCAGTAAGGTAGAAGAAACGCCGGAAGAGCATTACAGCGAAAAAGACAAAAGATGGAATTCCAAGAAGAAAAATGTGGCACCATTCTAAATATTGCTTTGCAGTCTAGTAAGACAAAAGCAGAGGCCGATTTGGCAATAGAAGGGCCAGAGGACGAAGTATGGGTAGAACCTGACTAAGCAAGAAGAGAATTGGAAGGATTTAGATGCCTTGTAGAAAGTGAGAGTCTGAGTTTTGGTTTTTTTCCTGTAGATGGGAGCCAGGAAAAGTGGAGAGAGTCCTGAGATCTCAAGTCCTGAGGTGGGAGCTGAGATCAGGAGACACCAGACATCTTCTGTAGGAGTGGGTGATTTACAGCCAAGGGAGGAATCCAGGACACAGGATAGGAGGGATCATTGCACTAACAGCATCCTTGAGAAGGAGGGGAAGGTTTGTCAGCCTTGGCTAGGATCAGGGCACCAGCCAGGCAGGAGTACAGCCGCCCGCGGGTATGCAGTCACAGATAGCATAGCACTTGTTCCTGCCTGGGTACTTCTGTGTCCCCCATGAAACCTGAAACAAGGGTATGAACAGAGGGTGAGGATCAGGAGCGGAGACACAGGGGTCTGAGGGGGACTAAGAAGCCTCAGTTTGGAGGGGTGGGGGTGTTGGGTTTGGGTAGAACTGCTTACATGAATTGCAGAGTGCCTATTTGTGATGTGAGGTTGTAAATGCTAGGTGAGACCACGTAGCACTGTTGGCTTTTCTCTACTAATGTTCAGCTGCCTGGTGCAATAAGTAAGAGACTGCGCTAAAGGGAGCATCGGGCTCACAATGAATATAACACTTTATGGCATAATAGCCTGGAAAATTGAAATTTGATTTTACATTAATCAAAAGGTTATGCTCAAAACTAATCATTTTTCCTTGTTAAAATCACACAGTTTAAAATTGGAGGCTGTGTAACAGGAATGATTTCATGAATTGAGATGTGTACATTCTGATTCTTAATTTAAGACTGTCAGATTTTAAGAAAGCTTTTTTATTCATATATATATATATCAAAGATCTCTTATCTGTTGATACTTCCTGGGAAAGTCTAACAATTGATCGAACATATACTCTGCTTTTGAGTTCTCATCTGTAGCAAATCAGCGTAAGTTAAAAAATGAGAATGGGTGTATAGGAATAGGTAGGTGTAGGATGAGGTTAAACTGAAATGTATTTGCAGGAGATGAAGCAGAAGTTGAAGGAATTGGACAAGAAGTAAGCTTGATGTGGAGGGGCCATGGTATTTGTGCAGATACATATCTTTACTTTTAATCTTTCTGGTCTTATTTTGCTTTAACTCAGAGGGTTATGGTGTGTTTGTTTTTTGGAAGATATTCTGAACGGGTTAGAGTGTGTTTTCTAATACTCAAGCTAGAAAAGAGGTGACAGGAGCTATGAATTTCAGATATGATGGTGGTGGCACAAGTCTGCATTTCCTGTTTCCCCTCCAGAACATCCTCAGAGAAGTTAAAATGTGCTTGAACTGCATGCACAGCCATGCTATGGAATCTAAAAGGGGGACGGGAGGTTCACAGCGAATCTTAAAGACGTGAATCACCCTAAATATCAGCAAGTTGTCTGTAGTTGTAATGGAAGCTTTATTGGGAAATCCGCTCCTGACGCTTCTTCGTGCAGAGCAGAAGGAAGATGGAGGCAAAAAGGGGCAGCTGAGATACGTGTCCAGGAGTTTTATACTCCTCTAGACACGTGGGCTGGCAAGGGGCTATCTATGCCGTAGCTATGTAAGGAATGTCTGTTCAGGTGTGCCGTTGGTCAGCTGGAATCCCACCAGGCCAGTGACATAACTGGCTCCTGTGGCCCTGCTGTTCCGGACTGAAGCCTGGGAGACATGCTAGGTCTGGAGCAGACCAGCCCCTCACCTCCAGTGCCCTGGGTACCCATCAGTTTCCTTTTTTCACATGTGATAATGTGTGACATTACCTCTAACTTCATGTTAGAACTTGCACTCAGCTTTGATTTCTGTCCCCTTGTAGCGAATAAGTGAACTTTTAAACATATCCCTCTCATTCATTTACTTATTTTGCAAATATCTATCACCTGCATGCCATGGCAAGCACCTTGACAAGTATATGGACTTGCAAGGGAAACAAAAGGAAGTCCTTGGTTTCTTGATGTCCACAGGGGAGACTTTATACTCGTAAACCCACAAATCAGTGTGATTCCAAGTGTGGTGAAGGTATATCTAAAGAAGAGTATGGGAGCAGGGAAACGTGTTGATGTAGGAAGTCCAAGCGAAGGCTTAGAGGATGAAATGAGCCAACCTGCCTTTCCAGGATTGGATGAAATGCATTCCTGGTAGCAGGAACAATACACTCAGAGGGTCATAAAGTGAGGCAACGGCAGCGCAGAGCCCTGAAGAAGCCAAGGTCAGTGAGGTCAACGAGGAAGAGGAGACCCCTAACTAAAAACATTTAAAACTACCATAATGTTAGACTTTTTGGGAAAGTGTGGCTAATGCACGCAGAAGAACTGCAAAGAAAATAGAAAATGACTTTGAAGTCTGTGGAGGCAAACTAGAGCTGGCTTGAATTAGGACTGCAGCGGAAACAATGAAGAAAATTGCTTTAACATTATTTGGAACTAAAGTCAGTAGTATTTGATTATGGAGGTGAAGGTATTTGGTTTAGTAGTTAAGATAACATTTGGCTTACCCTCATTCGGAGAAGATCCTGGGTCTGAATCCCAGCTCAGCTTGGTTCCAGCTTCCTGCCATGTACACCCTAGGAGGCAAATGATGGCTCAGTTGGTTCCCTGTCACACACATGGGAGACCTGAATGAGTTAACAGCTCTTGACTTTGCCTTCTCCGTTGGAGACGTTTGTGGAGTAAACCAGCAGATAGAAGATCTTCCTATGCATGCCTGTTTCTGTCTGTATCTCTATCTCTCTGCATTCCAAATAAAGTAAGAATAAATGCTTTTGAGAAAAGAAGTAATGACAGAGAAGGAATTGGGTAGAAATATTTATAGAATTCTGGATTTGTAGCTGGGGTAAGATTGAGATGGGAAAGACAAAAAAGTGTTGTTTTTTTTTTTACTTTTTTCTCATTTTTCTTTATTATATTTTGACAATCTTTACATAGTTAAATTAGGGTAAAAAGGTTCAAGGGCTACAGGAGAGTGGGTAAGACTAGTAATTTTTCCATATTGTTTCCTTCATGTTTAAAGGGGGGTATTAAGGGAGAAAGCCCACCCAATTTCCCACCCTCCCCAGATCCCGGATGTAGGGTATGCTCTGAGGTTCTTGCTCAAGTGGTTTTGATATTTCAACAGCTATGAATCGCTGCCAATCTTGCCACTCCAAGCACTATGAGGTCTTTGAAGAATAAAAGTGGTTTTTTTTTTATTAATTTATTTGAAAATCAGTTACAGAGGGAAAGAAGGAGAAAAAGCAGGAAGGGGAAAGTACTGTCCCAGCTGCCGATACGCTCCCCAGATGGCCACAGTGACCAGCGCTGGGCCAAACCAAAGCCTCCGGAGCTTCATCTGAGTCTCTGATGTGAGTGACAGAGCCCCAAACACTTGGGCCATCTTGTGCTGCTTTTCCCATGTCAGTTACAGGGAGCTGGATCAGAAGTGGAGCAGCCAGGACACAAACTGGTGCCCATATTGGATGCCAGCGTTGCAGGTGGTAGCTATACCTGTTACACCCAATGCTGGTCCCTGAAAGTGAAATTTAAGATGCCTTAGAGATCAACTATAGGTATTTGATATAAGTCTGAAGCTCAAACTGAGGGTTAGACTAGGGATAATGCATTCATGAATTGAAAATATATATGTAATATATATGTATATATTTGCAGATATAAATATTTACAGATTCGGGTTGTCATATTTTTATATTTGTGATGTGTTATGTAAAGTCAGTGGGCTGGATGAGGTGAGGCAGGGACAGTGTGCTTAGAAGTTCTGAGCTGAGCCATTGGATCCTCCGACATGTAGGGAAGTGAGCGTGAGCAGGAAGATCTTGAGGGACAGAAGGAACCCGGGGCGTGTGCTGTCAGTGGAGCCAAGTAGGGAATAATGAGCAAGATCAGATGCGCTTAGATAACTTGCCTTAACAAGAAATATGAAAAGCCCTGTAAAGAAACCCCATGCAGACTCCTGAAAAGCATGAAGGGAGCCTTGAACAAACAGGAAGACAAACCTTGCCCTTGTATAGGACAACACAATTCCATGTGTGAATGTAACGAACTTAATACGTAAACTCAAAGCTACTCTCGGGATTCTTGGATTCTTGATTTTAAGTTCAGTTACTTTCTGGATTTAGGATTTTTTTTTTTTCAAGAACCATAAACTGAGTCAAGTTTGTATGGAAAAAGAAACATGTCAGGATAGCTGCAATGTCTAACATAGAAATGAGTGAGATGATACATTAAAATATATGTGTAGCCTCTGTAATTAAGACCTCATGGTACTGATTACACGGATGGACAGACATGAAAGAAACAGATCGGGAAGTTGCAAAGCAGAAACACATATGACATCTTACGTGATACGGGTGGCGTATCAGATCTCTGGGAGAAAAGCAGACTTTTTTTTTTAATAGTTATACAGCAGCTGGATAGTCATTTATCAGAAGGCAAAATTAAGTCCACTCCTCACACCATTTACCAGAATTAGCTCCAAACAAATCAGAGATCTATATATGAAAGTGAAAGTATGCAAACAACAGAAGACAGAAGGGAATTGCTCCGTTATCTAAGTATGAAGAAAGCCCTTCTCACTTTCCGTCCCTCTGGTCTCTGGCTGCCCGGTGTGCCTGCTGCCCATCGTCATGCCTCGAAAGACTGAAAAAATCAAGGACTTCCTGCTGACAGAGCGGCGCGAGGATGCCAAGTCTGTCAAGATCAAGAAAAACAAGGACAACGTGAAGTTCAGAGTGCGCTGCAGCAGGTGCCTGTACACGTTGATCATGACGGACAAGGCAGGCCGAGAAGCTCAAGCACTCGCTGCCCCCAGGCCTGGTGGTGAAGGAGCTGAAGTGAAGAGAAGCCAGAAAGGAAAAAAGAAAGCCCTTCTCACAGTGACTTAAAATGCAGACACCGTGTAAGAACACAACCACATGGCACATGTTCTGAACAGCCTGTGTGGTAGAGGACGGGTGCTGTGCCGTGCAGCCTCTCGGTTGCCTCTGTGGCCCCTGCCTGCTGACACCCCCTGTATAAGCCCCTGCCTTCGGGGCTGGCCAGTAAGGTGCTGGCTAGAACGCAGATGTCCATATCAGAGTGTCCGAGTCTGACTTCCAGTTTCAGCTTCTAACTCCAGCTTCTTGCTAGCACAGACCCTGTGAGGCAATGGTAGTGGCTCAGATCGTCGAGTCCTTGCCACTCACGTGGGAGACCAAGGTTGAATTCCCTATTCTTGGTTCCAGTTTAGCCCAGACCTGACCGTTTCTGGCATCTGGGGAGCAAATCAGCAAGGGGAAGTTCAATCTATCTCAGTCTCTGTTGCTCCACCTCCCTACCTAAATAAATAAATGAACAAACAATTGACAATCTACTTTGTAATTCCCTGCCTTTGGGTATAGGCTGGACCTGATGATATGTCTCTAAGCACATGGAATAGGGTAAAGATGATGAAATATCCCTTTTGAGATTGAGCTAAAAGACTATGATTGTGACATCTGTCTGGCTCACACTCACACTGATAAAGCCAGCTGCCCCCGTGAGAGGCTCACATGGCAAGGAATTGATGACTGCTTGTGTGTAGAAATGCAATTTTTGTATGTTGATTTTATGTACAGCAACACTGCTTTATATTCTTTTAGTTGTCAGAGTTAAGATCTGTTTTCTTTGAGGAGACCCATATTGTTCATAAGCAGTGTCAGTTTTATTTCTTCCCCATTTACTGATTTTTATATTGGTCCCACACTACTAATTAGACCTGCAGAACAGTGTTGAGTAGAACCCATGATAAAGGCATGCATATTTTGTGCCTGCTTATAGAGAATATGTCCAAGGTTGCCTATTTGCAAATGATATTCACTGGAAGTTTTGGTAAATAACTTATTAAAGAATCCCCAGAGCTGGCATTGTGGCACTGCCAGATAGGCTGCTGCTTGCCATGCCAGCATCCCTTGTTAGAGCACCAGTTCAACTGCTGGTTTCCCCACTCCCAGTCCAGTTCTCTACTGACAACATCTGAGAAAGCAATGAAAGATGGTCTAATGCTTGGGCCTCTGCCATCCACACGGGAGAAGCAGGTGGACCCAGCTTTAGCCTGGACCACCTCAGAATGTTGAGGTCATTTGGGGTGTGAATCAGTGGGTGGAAGACACCCCTCGCTCCCTCCCTGTTTCTCTTCCCCCCTCTCTCTTTTCCTGCCTCTCTTCCTCCACTCTTTCTTCGTCGCCTCTCCCTCTCTCCCTCCATTCTAATAATTTTATTGGGTTTTTTAATTGATTACATTGCATTATGTGACACAGTTTTGTAGGCACTGGGATTCCCCCCACCCCTCCTCAACCCCCCCCCCATGGTGGATTCCTCTACCTTTTTGCATTACCACAGTTCAAATTCAGTTGAGATTCTTTCATTGCAAGCATTTACCAAGCATAAAGTCCAGCATCTTATTGTGCAGATAAGTTAAATGGTTTCCTGGGGAAACCATCTCTGGTCTGAAGGTAGAACCGGCAGAGTATCATCCTGATCAATTAAAAGCCCTGACATTATATCAGTAACAATTTATAACGTTATGGAATTAGTTGACTTGGTATTGAGTAACCAATATGTTAAAAGAGAAAGAAAAAAATAGAATGCAAGTTCTGAACCACATCCTGTGACTTTTACATTGACATTTCAATTATTAGTTTATATACATCCAGGCTCTGTACACCTTAAGATGGCTATAGATTACTATTCAGCTGTCTCATTTCTATTTTAAGTTTAGTATTTAGCAGTTTATAATATTGAAGCATGATTTTGCTGACAACCCTCCATTCTATAATTTTATTGTAAGAGTTGTAATGAAGGAACCTTCCATTTTATTGAAGGATTTTAATCTATTCAGACTGAAGAGCTATTATTTCAATTACCAGTTTGCTGAGATTTTGTTTTGATTTCTCTGAAACATCTAGAATCTTGTTGACCAGTGGCTGAGATGACCTAGTGGTTTTTCTCCCTTCATCTATGTCCTGTTCTTTTTCTAACCAGATACAAGATGATCTCTGAATTCACCTGGCCTAACCATGATCTTCCTTCAGACAAGGAAGCTGTCAAGAAACTCATTGAGCAGTGTGGTTTTCAGGATGATGTAGCTTATGGGAAGACCAAAATCTTCATTCGCACACCCCGGACACTGTTCACCCTGGAAGAACTGCGTTCCCAGATGCTTGTAAGGATCGTCCTGTTTCTGCAGAAGGTAAGTTTGTGTTTCATATGCAAGAATGAGGTCTTGCTTTCATGTTCTTGAAAATTTGCTGTTTTCTTTGACAAGTTGTCCTAATAGCATCTTACCTGCCAAATACTACCCCCGCCACATATAGTTTGAGAAAGGAATCCAGTTTTATTTGCATTTGTATGGAGAGCAGTCTTCTCAGTACTATCTTAAAACCATTCTCTTTTTAAAATATATTTTTTTTTTATTGCAAAGTCAGATATATATAGAGAGAGGAGGAGAGACAGAGAGGAAGATCTTCCGTCTGATGATTTACTCTCCAAGTGGCTGCAACAGCCGGTGCTGCACTGATCCAAAGCCAAGAGTTCTTCCAGGTCTCCCACCTAAGGCCTTGGACCGTCCTCAACTGCCTTCCCAGGCAACAAGCAGGAAGCTGGATGGAAAGCAGGACTGCTGGGATTAGAACCAGGGCCCATATGGGATCCACACACAGCAAGACAAGGACTTTAGCCACTAGGCCACAGTGCCGGGTCCAAAACCATCTTCTTTCTCTGTAGATTTGTAATAGTACTTTTATCGCCTGTCAAATTCATATACAGATAATGGGTTCTGTCTGAGCACTCTGTTGTGTTCCGTCTTTCAATTTGCCTGGTTTTGCACCAACACTGCCCAGTTTTCATTGTGATGTATTTTTGTGTGTGTTAGAGTTAGTCCGTGTTCTCTACTTTTCTTTATTAAGGTAGATGTACCTTTTATATAGACCCTTCTCTGCAAAACAAATTTTAATTGTGTAGTAACTATTAAATTCAACAGTAATATTTATTAGACTTGCATTGAATTTGTAGATTCATTTGAAAATGCTAACATTTTATAATGCTGATTCATCTGATTAAGCATGTAAGATTTTTTTTTTTGAGTAATCATCTTTGACCTGTAGACTGAAAGAGGCCTTTCCAACTCATTATTTTAGGTATTTTTGTGTTTTGCTTGCTAGAGTGAATTTATTATGTTTTATGCAAATGTTACTGCAAGGAAATAATACTTTATGTAAAAAAAAACAGCACCTTTTTTTGATTCATATTTGTCAATATTGCTTTTTCTGGGTCAATAATTACATTACATGGAAAAATTAGAAGTTTTCCCTTCCAGTTGCCAAAACATTTCCTAGTATTAATTTCCTTACATTTAGCTCACCTGGAACTCGGAATAACCCACCTGTCTAGAATACTAATTTTGTTTCAGTCTAAAACAGTTTCCTTATGTCGCTTTTTCTTTCCATATTGCTTTTGCTCAGTTCTTTTTCTTAACGGTGCTTGTAATTGAAGTTGGGTCTGTTTTCTGCCTGTCATAGGTAATTGTTCTCAGGTTTCTGCTTTTGTCTTCCAGTCCCTTCCCTTGATCTTAAGTACTTACCTGTGGTGTTTTATTGTTGTTTTTCAGATCTAGGAGGCTGTTTTGTTTTCGTATGTATCCAGGAGGTTGAGTCAGGCTGAGTTAGAGCCTGTGTCACAGCGCACATACCTCTCAGTCCTGCTTTCTGTCACCTGTGAGAACTATTGATAGAACTCCTCTCATTCTCAGACATCCCAGGCGAGATCATAAACTCACTTTCTGCCTGTTTGGCGGCTGGTGAAGTGGCTCTTCTTAAACCCATCGCTTCTGCTGTGTCTGTAAAACTCAATATGTAATCACTTGCTTGTCTTTATGTTCACATTTCCTCTCTCCTTGACCACTGTTCTAAGCTGTTTTTTAATGATATCCATGTGATCCATGTTTGTGTGTGTTTGCTTTTGAGATTTTGTGGGTCTTATTGTTAATGCTTCAGGAACACAGTATAATTCTGCCTTTTTTTTTTTTTTTAGTTTAATTAGGTTTCCTTGGGGACTGGTATGTGGTCTTTTTTGTTACTCTAATGTGAAAAAAGTACATGTTCTTCTGCTTTGATATTTTTCTGAGGCAAAATTACAGCTGTTCACAATAAGTATCAAGTATGTGTGTTGTGAGCCCCTGTGTTCCTGTCACCCAAATCAGTGCTAAACAGCCTCTTGCCATCTTACTTCATCTGGAACCTACCTCCTGCTCTAATGTAGGTTTAGTTTGGTTTTAGTTGGAGGTTTTTGAAGGGTAGCCCAGAAATCTTATCATTTCACCCTTAAATTCCGCTGTAATCCCTACAGATAAAAACTTCATTCCATTATGATCCCATGTAAAAATAATACTCCCTCCACGTCCTCTGATGCCTGGTGTGTCTGTTCATTGTTCCCGAGAGGCTGGCGGCTGTCTCCTCACAGATGGTTGGGAAGAAGCACAGTCGCCTGTGGAGCGGAGGTGCCACCCAGCAGGAACCCACTCCAGGCAGGCAGGGGCGAGACTGTCGGTGTCTCTGTCAGCTTGGGGTTTATATCAGCCATGACCCAGGCGACCTTCAGCGAGGCGTCACTGCTTTCCTATTGTGTGTTTTGAAAGGCGACAACCAGGGATTGTTCTGGTTGGTTTGCATTAATTAACGATAAAATATTATGTGGGTACTCTTGCATTTATTTTTGAGTTTTATATTCTTGCTATTGGATTATATTATATATTACATAGCACCAGTCACAAGAAAGATTTTGTGAGAGATCAAAAGTAGAACATGAAAGCATGAGCATCTGAGGATAATAATGTTGCAGATCACCCAAGGAGGGGGGATAGTGTGAATAGAATCATTATCTGAAATTGGATTTTATTGGTTTCATTTATTTACTCATGCTTCCTAACATTTCGTTGGTTTTAAAACTTTGTCAAATGGCATGACTTCATGCAGGTTATCACGTTGTTTTCCGTTAAAGCACAGTAACTTATGTGAGAAACCAGCAAAATTATTTATGTCTCAGACTGAAAGTAAAATAGTTATTTATTATTTAAGATAAGTTACTTTACAAGTTTTTAATTTTAAAAAATATCCTTAAAATTGCTATGTGCTTATAGGTTAGCATGTGATGTTTACATGCATGTATGCATTATGTAGTAACCAGTCAAGTTAAATATACTTTTCATCTAACAATTCACATTTCTTTATGGTTAAAACCCTAATTTTAGTTTTTTAAGGGAGAAACATATAGCACATCCACATTATCTACAGCAGCTGCTTTGTGTGCAATAGAGCCCCAGATCACCTCACTCCACTGTAGGTGTAGTTTAGTGCATGTTAGCACATCCTACCTTCTTCCCAACCCTCTGCAACCTCTGGGAACCGCCATTATATTTTTAACTAGTCTGGAATCACTTAGTTTTAGACTGTGCCTATGAGTGAGCTCATGTGATGTTTGACTTGTTTCTCACAGCATAACTAAACTTGTGGTTCTGTCAATAGTATTGCAGGTGATAGGGTTTCATCCTCTTTCATGACTCAGTAGTATTCCATTGTGTATACAGACATTGAGGTTGTTTCCATTCCTTGGTTCTTATAAGTAACACGGCAATCAACATGGTGACGCAGGCACCTATCAAACGTCCTTGGAGATATCTATGTATATATACACATATATCCAATATTGTTGATGGAACATGTGGGAATCCCATTTTCAGTTTTTAAAGGAATCTGTGCTGTTTTCCACAATAGCTATATTAATTTACATTCCCAATAGTAGCATACAAGGATTCCCTTCTCTCATCAACACTCATTATGTTTTGTCTTTTTAATAACAGCCAATCTAACTGAAGTAATTTCATTGCAGTTTTGAGTTGCATCTTCTCTATCATTAGTAATGTTAAACGTCCCTCCGTGTGCCTGAGAGCCGTTTGTCGCCCTTTGTGAAACGTCTGTTTCAATCTACAACCTATTTTTAAAAATGAATTTTATGGGTTTTTTGCTACTGAGATGCTTGAGTAAAACAGATTTCTTTTTTGCTCATAAACTCACGAAAAAACATGATGATCACCAACATTTACAAAATTACAGGTACTATTCTGCTCAATTTACATGTGTTAACTACAGAGCTTGTGAATTGATATTTATTATGCTTTCCATTTAGCATATAAGGGAACAGAAGACACTAAGTGGTTATATAGCTGGTGAGGATCACACTAATGGTGAATTCCAAAACTGGGACCTGAATCCTGTAATCTTGCTCCCATACATACTCTTCAATTTATTTTTTATTTGAAACACAGATTACAGAGAGAAGGGGAGAGAGAAAGATCTTGACCCGCTGGTTCACTCCCCAAATGGTTATAGTGACCAGAGCTGGGCCAGTGTGAAGCCAGAAGCCTGGAGTTTATTCTGAGTCTCTTGAATGAGTACAGGGTCCCAAGAACTTGGATAATCTTTGGCTGCTTTCCCAGGTACATTAGCAGGGAGCTGCATCAGAAATGGAGCAGCCCATATGGGGATGCCAGCACCACAGGTAATGGCTTACTGTACTCTGCCACAGTGCCAACCCATATACACGCTCTTGACCAGCACTCGGTTACATGACGCTGCATCATTCAAGATGCATTCCCTATCGGAAGTGCAGATATGGCTCACACTATTGCAGACACGTTAGTAAAAGCATCCGCAGAGGAGTTGATGGCATCATGCTTAAAGATTAAACGGAATGAGATTTGATTTCTAAAACATTCTTTTATTAAATATCCTTGGTGTAGGCATCTGAAGTCTGAGTCATTTAGTGGGGAGTATATGGACTAAGATTAATTTTATGTTGAAAGTGTAATTCAGCTCTTGACACATGTATAGTAATGAAAAGTAATCAGTGCTTCCTTTTTTCATTGAGAATACAAACACTCAGATAACATATTTTTACTTACTTTGATTTGGTAAAAGCAGCTTTTGAGCCCTAAGTTGGTTGATGAAGCTGTTTTTGGATGTATGTCAACAAAGCATTAGGTGACCCGTGAGAGACAGGGCATGTATTCCTGTGCAGTAAGAAAGGAAGTCCCTAGTGTCAGTGCATTCATTGCTTTGTCCAGCAGAATGTTCATAGTCAAAAATATACTGCTTGATGTTGCCTAAGTGTTGGCAGTAACAGAAGTACGCCTTTGAT